CTGTACCCCCCTTTTTTTTTTTTTTTTTAAGATTTTATTTATTTATTTGTCAGAGAGAGAGAGAGGGAGAGAGAGCAATCACAGGCAGACAGAATGGCAGGCAGAGGCAGAGGGAGAAGCAGGCTCCCTGATGAGCAAGGAGCCCGATGTGGGACTCGATCCCAGGACGCTGGGATCATGACCCGAGCCGAAGGCAGCTGCTTAACCAACTGAGCCACCCAGGCGTCCCTCTGTAACCCTTTTAAATGTTGCTGAGAGCTATGGAGGTCCCCATCCAGGAGGCCCAGGGTCCCCAACCCTCCAGCCTATGTGCACTTCATAGGCCACTTAAGCTCAGACCCACACTTTTCTTGGCTCCTGGAATGAAACCCAGGGAGCACCTGAACTTCGTTTTCATTCCTCTGTGTCTCTCTTTCTGCTCCCTTCCTTCTGGGTTTTATGTTTCCGGTTCTGGGCCAGCCTGGCCCTGACAGATCATTCCTCACTGGCAGTGGCGACGCTCTAGAACCTGCTTGTGTGCCGTGAGCGAGAGGTGCCTCTCAGAGCTGGGCTGCGCCGTCCTCGTCTGTGCTCTTCCTGCACCCGTGGCCGGGGCACAGCAGGCAGCTGCTCGCTCCCGGGGGTCCACGATGGAAGAAAGCCTTTCCCGCTCCTTGTCTACTCACACGACATTCTCCTTTCTGCCAGAGGTAGTAACAAAATAGGTGAGGGGGCGCCTGGGTGGCTCAGTCAGTGAAGCGTCTGCCTAGGGCTCGGGTCATGGTCCCGGGGTCTTGGGATCGAGCCCCACGTTGGGCTCCCTGCTCAGCGGGGAGCCTACTTCTCCCTCTGCCTGCAGCTCCCCTGCTTGTGCACACTGTCTCTCTCTGACAAATAAATAAGTAAAATCTTAAAAAACAAAAAACAGGTGATAACTACGGCATACTGTGTTAATATAAAGATGCTCTGGTCTCGGGGGCTCGGCTGATATGCCGCCTTCTCCACCAACTCCTAAAGGCAAGGGCGGACAGTGACCTGGAAAACCCACCAGGAATTCGGTTTCCCCCTGGGTCCTCCATACAACCCTTACTTGCCCTTGAGCTGATCTCCTCCACAAGAGACTTCTATTTGTAGAGTAAAGTCAATGAAACAAGTCACCACAAAACTAGTCTAAAAACCAAAAGGTGCAGGGAAGAACAAAGCAGAGGAGACTTGAGAGAGCTCGGCGGGGTGGGGCCGCTTCAGCTCAGGGGGTGGGGGAAGCCGCTCTGAGGAGCTGACGTCAGAGCCCAGGCCCCATCCGCCATCTGGGGGTAGGATGTTCTAGACCAGGCAAAGTCTCACCCATGTTGGAATTCAGGCTCCATAAACTACAGTCGGAAGGTAAAACACTGCCTAGTTTGATAAATAAGGTTTTCTTGGAGGGATGCCTGGCTTGCTGGCTAAGTCAGTAGAGCATGCAGCTCACAATGTCAGGGTCATGACTTCAGTCCCACCTAAAGGGAAAAAAAAAAGCACCAAGTTTTAGTGGAACACAGCCAACCCTGTCTTTCTGAGTATTGTTTATGACTGCTTTCCGACTGCAACAGCCCAGCCGAGTCTCTGTGACAGACACCATATGGCCAACAAAACCAAAAATATTCACTATTTGGCCCTTTGCAAAAAAAGCCTTCTGGCCTCTGCTGTAGATGACGTTTTTCTCGCTGGTACAGAATATCCCACAGCGCGAACAGAGCACAGCGCAGCCCTCCTCCGCTGGTGCGTGTTCGGCTTTTCTGACAGCGACGCCAGAGCATTCCTAGGTGGGGACGCTTGGTCCCGGGGCGTGCAGATGGTCGACTGAGCTAAAAGATGCCGAATGTGTTCCAAAACTTAAATATCCTCAAATATTTCCCACAAAAAATTTTAAAACTTCGTATCTGGTTTCAAGTCCCAGAGGCACCTGTTCGTGTGATATGGCCGCACCAGATCTTCCTACAACCCAGACACTTCTGCTTTCTTTTACTGATATGTTTTTGATGTATAATTCACACAGCATAAAACACAACCATTTAAAGTGTATAGTTCAGTGCTTTTTAGTATATTCACGGTGTTTTGCAACTGTCACCGCTAATTCCAAAACATTTTCATCACCCTAAAAAGGAACCCGATGCCTACTGCTGTGCTCTCCATTCTGCCTCCTTCCGGCCCCTGGCAGGGCAGTAAGGCTTCTGGCTAACTTACTTTTTTTTTGCCCTCTATCTTACTTTTTTTTTTTTTTTGGAAGATTTTATTTATTTATTTGACAAAGAGAGAGATCACAAGCAGGCAGGGAGGCAGGCAGAGAGAGGAGGAAGCAGGCTCTCCGCAGAGCAGAGAGATGGGGGGCTCAACCCCAGGACGCTGGGATCATGACCTGAGCTGAAGGCAGAGGCCTTAACCCACTGAGCCACCCAGGCACCCCCCCAACTTACTTTTTAAATTGAGATTTACCTGTGTCATTGGGAACAAAAGTTTCTGCTGCTTACAAAATGTTTGGAAACCTGTGCCTGGCACCAGACTGCCTCCCAGTGGATCTAGCATTCAAACTGCCTGATGATGAGATGTCTTTCCCTCTGGCTCTCAAAACAAACTAAGTGAATGTTCTCTACTTCTGAGGTGCGTTGCAGTGTTATGAATGCGTAAGTCAGGCCAAAAGGTCAGGCCAATTTCTGCTACCAAGAAAATGAGCCAGGGAACTCAGTGTCACTGGAGCATAGTAAGTCCTCGGCACTTGGATTTGATTGTCCCATCTGTGGCTTCTGCACGTAGCAGTGCCTGCTTGAATACAACACTACAGGGACCAGCAGCCAGCAAGAGATGAGACAGAGGCACAGCACCGACCACCCAGCTAAGTGGCCCCTCTTGCCCCTCCCGAGATTGTATATGTCCACACCTAGTTTTATTTTCTCTAAGGCACTTACACTTCCAGCAAGCATCTGCTTTACTTGTTTCCTGGGGTGTAAACTGCGGGCCCTTTAAGGCCAAAGCCACATCAGTCCTGCTCACTGATATGCTCACCCCCCACCCCCGAACAGCACCAAGCAGGCACTGCTGTCCAGCGGATAAATGGCATTCAGTCCGAGGCTCCCAGAGGTGGGGCTCCCATCTCCTTTGTTAGGTTCCCCAACCCCACTTGCATCCTCCTGCTACCGCATCTCAGCACTGGGCAGCTACTGCCACCCTGAGCCCAGTCCCAGAGCTGTGAAACCCCTTTGAATCATTACCTTACCCCCAGTCTGAGTTTAAAATAAACAATAAATAATTCTTTAGTATAAGTATGTTCCAAACATACTACTGGAATGTATTTAGAGTAAAATATAGTATTAGTATTTAGAAGAATATTTGGTATTAGAACTTGGTTTAAATATGTACCAAATAGGGGCACCTGGGTGGCTCAGTGGGTTAAAGCCTCTGCCTTTGGCTCAGGTCAAGATCTTGGGGTATTGGGAACGAGCCCTGCATTGGGCTCTCTGCTCAGCGGGGAGCCTGCTTCCCCCTCTATATCTCTGCCTGTCCCTCTGCCTACTTGTGATATCTATGTGTCAAATAAATAAATCTTTAAAAAAAAGTCCCAAATATAATACTGGGACAAATAATAAGATATACTCTTCATAATTACCATAGTATTTGTTATTGTTACTTATTTATTAAAGATTTTATTTATTTATTTGACAGAGAGAGACACAGGGAGAGAGGGAACACAAGCAGGGGGAGTGGCAGAGGGAGAAGCAGGCTTCCTGCTGAGCAGGGAGCTGGATGTGGGGCTCCATCCCAGGACCCTGGGATCATGACCTGAGCCGAAAGCAGATGCTCAATGACTGAACTACCCAGGCGCCCTTACTATTATTATTTAGTATATCCCAAATATACTATTGGGACAAATTTATAATAAAAAAAAAAATCACTCCTCTGAAATTCAAATTTAGCTAGGATTTGTCCTGTATTTTTATTTGCTAAATTCGGCAACCCTATTCTGACACTTAAATATATCAAAAAATAGGGGCGCCTGGGTGGCTCAGTGGGTTAAGCCGCTGCCTTCGGCTCAGGTCATGATCTCAGGGTCCTGGGATCGAGTCCCGCATCAGGCTCTCTGCTCAGCGGGGAGCCTGCTTCCCTCTCTCTCTCTCTCTCTCTCTCTCTCTGCCTGCCTCTCCATCTACTTGTGATCTCTCTCTGTCAAATAAATAAATAAAAAATCTTAAAAAATATATATATCAAAAAATACTTATACTCAATTTATTTATTGTAAAAAGATTTTAAAATATAATAAATATGGGACACACTCATACTAAAAAAGTATTTATTGTTTACTCGGAATTTAAATTCAGGGGGGCATCCTGCATTTTTATTTACTAAATCTGGTAACCCTACTGTGGGACATGGCTACACTGAAAATTACATATACTACTATACATGTATTTTCTAGGTTTTAAAAAATACACTGTGAAACAGTAATACTAAAAAATAACGTTATCTGACATTTAAGTCTAACTGTGCCTCTTGTATTATTTATTTATTTGCGAAATCTAGTAATCCTATTCTGGCACATATGCTACTAAAACAGACGTGTATTTTAAAAATATGTTAACGTGGGGCGCCTGAGTGGCTCAGTGGGTTAAAGCCTCTGCCTTCAGCTCAGGTCATGATCCCAGGACCTTGGGATCTAGCCCCGCATCGGGCTCTCTGCTCAGCAGGGAGCCTGCTTCCTCCTCTCTCTCTGCCTGCCTCTGCCTACTTGTGATCTCTGTCAAATAAATAAAATCTTTAAAAATAAATAAATTTAAAAAATAAAAATATGTTAGCATGCTCAATGTGAGACGCTCCTACAGTGAAGCGAACAAACGAAACGCTACGTTGTTTAATTGTTTAATTTCTGGCTTGCGGGCGGGCCTGGACACCGCAAAGAGAGAGCCTGACCGCGGCCCTCACGCAGCCCCGCCCATCCTCCTACCCACCCGTCTCCCCCGCAACCTCACTGCGACGCGGCTTGCCCCGTTGCCATGGCGACCGAACCTGTCCAGGGTAACTCTGGGGCGCTGCGGGGGTGAAGAACTCCGAACGGCTTCCGATTGGCCCGCGCAGCCCCGCGCGTTACCACCCTGTCCTCCGCCAGGGAGACCCGCGGCGCGCGACGCTCGGGGACGACTCTGCGCGCCTCTCCGGGCCAATGGCGGCCTCCCGCGGCGCGCGGGGTTCTGGGAGTTGTAGTCCGCGCGTCGGCCGCTGGGCTGGCTCTCAAGCCGAGGCGCCGCCATGACGGAGCGGCACTGGCCGTAGCGGAGTCCGCGCGCGGTGAGTCCGCCGCGGCCCGTCCGGCCGTTGTCCCTCGTCCGTCAGTGCGCCCGCCGAGCTGCCCGGCCGCGGGAAGGGGCCGCGGGGCGGGCCGAGGGCGCCGGTGTCGGCGGGCGCTGGCTGGGATTGCTTTAGAGGAAGCGCGGGTGGAGACGAATCCGGGCTCGGGCTGGAGGCGCACGCAGCCCGAGGCCAGCGGCGGGGCCGAGCCTGGTCGGGGAAGCAGTCGCGGGGCCGCGAGGTCCCTGGGGATGAGGGAGGCGGGCGAGCCTCGCACGCTAGGCGGGGGGGGCCGAGGTGGAGGTGGGCAGGGGGCCGCGGCGCGCCGCTCCGCCCAGCCCCGGCCTCGGTGGCATCTCCCCTCCCCATTAGCCGGGGCAGACAGCCCCTCCACCCTCGTTTGTCCACTCCAGACCCCTCTCGGCCCAGCCCAAGCTCCCCCTCCCCCCACCAGCCAGCAGCCCAGAACCTGACACAGTGTCCGCGTCAGATCTCGGTGCCCACCGCAGGTAAGCCCGGCCTGTCCACGTGGCTTTGAGCCCTGCAGGTGACACTCAGAGACCCCCTAGCATCAATCCTCATCACCCCCAGAGCGGATCTCCAAGACACCAAGACCACGCCGCTCCCCATGTAGACCTCAAGCCCGTCCTCATCAGCCTAAGATCCCTACATCTTCCAGGCCCCCTCCTCAGCCTGGGTTCCCCAATATGGTCCAGACCCCCACACGAGGACATCATCCCCCCTCCAACATGGGCCCCAGACACCCGCCCATAGGCCTCACGCGCTTTCCGCTAGGAGCCCCACTTGACCCCTCTAGAGCCTCCATCAACTCAGCTTCTCCCCACATAGACTTCATCCCGGGACCCTGGAGGGTGCTGAGGAGCTGCGATTCTCCACCCTGGAATCTGCCTGGGGCACACTTCCCGGCTCACCGGAGAGAAGGGTAAGGTCTGAGATCCCAGAGCAGAAGGAAGGACTGCTTGAACCTGTGAGGCTGCGAAACGGGCCCTCCCTTTTTTTCCTTTCAAAAATACACATATGAAACTACAGCATAAGAGTGTTTTTGCCTGTGGTCTCAGCAGGGGTGACGGAGCTTGTAAACGCCCAGACGGGCTGCTGGTGGAAGAAGCGGCGGGAAGATCGCTGGCAGGGCACGGCCCTCGTGAGTCGCCCTCCGTGCGTGTGTACACCTCTCGTTCCTGATTGTAAAACCCACACACGTGCACATGAAAGTTCTCCAGAGGATCAAGAAGGAAAAAGTCACGTGGACTACTCCTCCACTTTTCACTTGTCATAAGCATTTCCCATGTCATTAAAAATCCTTCCTAAATGTTTTTGTTCCTTTTTTTTTTTTTTCTTTTCTTCATGATGAAGGTCAAACATGATCAAAATACCATTTGGGGGAGATTAAGAGAAATATGAAGAACGTAGCATTTGGTTGGGCGCCTTTGGGGCTCTCCCGGCGTCCCTTTTTGGGACCCTCATATGTCATTTGCATCCCACTTTACCCTGTACCTCATACCATCTGTATGTCACGTCTGCCTGCCTTGAGCATGTTATGTTACCATGCATTTTGCAGTCATAAGTTCTCCACCATGTGATGGGAGGGTAGTTGATCTCGCCAGGCTTGACTGTTGGGCACTTCTGTTGTGATTCTTGGTGCCTAAATCTTTGTCCCAATTTCAGATAAATTCCACAGCACGCGAACTTCCAGAATGGTCTTGATATACAAGCTGCCATGTGGTGCTTTCCAGAAAGGTCGTGCCAGTTTGTACTTTGACTATTGGATCAGCACAGAGTACAAGTGTTTAAAAAAAAGAAAGAAAAAATCTCATTTTTATTTTTACAACTTTAACGTTCTCTTCAGTTGGATGTTCACTATAGGAAGCTTGGAAAATGCACAAAATGCTATTTTTTTCACTGCCCTTCCCACTTTCCCTCTGTTTTTAGTCTCTTTCCCCCCTTGTCCTCACCGCCTTCTCCCTCAGTATTAAGTTAGTGGAAAAGACAAGAAAGACAGCATAGGTAGGCAGGAAGCTTCTGTTGTGCTATTATGTAGCATATTTGGCTGTTTCCATTTAAAGGGAATTGAAAGTCCAGTTCCTTATTTCCAGTCCTTAGGAGCCACATATTAGCTGGCAGCTACCAGGCAGGATGGCACAGAAGGAGAGCATTTCCAACCCCATAGGGAGTTGTGCTGGGCAGTTCCGGCTACTCCACCAGGGCAGGAATCCTGTTCCCCTCGAAGCTCAGCAAACCGTGTGAATGACGAAATGAGTGAAGGAGGCAGACGTATGCTAAGTAAGGAAATGGGGTATGTTCATGACGAGGTAAGAGTCATGAAGACAGCACACTAAAGACCAGGAGACGAGGATGATGGCCTGTGCCAAAGCATGGTGACATGCTGCTGTGGTGACAGCTGGGCTGGGATCAACATCAGAGAGGAGTGGGGGTAGGAACAGTGCATACAAAGATCCTGGGGTGACCAGTGCCTTGTCTTCAACCCAATGTAACCCATGAGTGTCATGTGGAAGGAGATTAGGTCAGAATGAGATGGGGAGGGCTCGGATCAGTTCCTTGGGAACTAGAGGTCTGGCAAGGACATAGAGAGTGAGGGGAGTGCTGAGCAAGGTGGTGGCCACCATGTGATGTGGCCACTTTGCGCCTGCCCCTCTCTGCAGGCCCCTGACTGCTGACCGCATCCACCTGCTGCCACCTGGGTTTGTCTGGAGCTGCTGGGACGGTCCTGGGATCCAGCCTGCTTGCCCTCGGAGGCCGGAGAGATGCTCCCGTTGCCCAAAGCCCTCGCCTCCCCCAGGAATACCCAGATCCCGGCCCCGGGGCAGCAGGATGGGGCTCCTGAGCCACCCAACCCTGGGGATACTGAGGCCTGCCGCCTGCGTTTCCGACAGTTCCAGTACCGTGTGGCAGGCGGGCCACACCATGCACTGGGCCATCTCTGGATGCTGTTGCGCCAGTGGCTGCGGCCCGAGGCACACTCGAAGGAGCAGATCATGGAGCTGCTGGTGCTGGAGCAGTTCCTGGGAGCGCTGCCCAGCAAGATGAGGACCTGGGTGCAGTCGCAGGGCCCCCGCACCTGCAAGGAGGCCGCTACCCTGGTGGAGGACCTCATAGAGATGTCGCAACAGGAAGGTGAGGGGACGGGCCTCACCCCGAAGAGCAAGTGGTTGCCGGGGGGAGCAGGTGTTGGGTTTGGGTTCTGGCCAATGTCTCCATGGCTCAGTGCCCAAGGATCATACTTCTTTTTCCTTTGGGACTCAGAGTGCCGCGTCCACCCAGCACTACTCCCCCCCCCCCCCCCCCCCCCCCCCTCCCGTTCCCCCCCCCCCCCCCCCGCACCCCCGGCCATCCGAGTAGGCCCCTGCCTGCACATGTCCTGCCCGTGCGCATTGTCATATCACACACCTGTGTTTTTCTTTGTTTTACATAAATGTCATTGTGCTGCACGCCTCTGTCCGCCTCACTTTTCTCTCTCAGTTGGAAGTCGAGCGTTTCTCCGTCCTCCCACGTGTCCATCTGGCCTGCGGCTTTGCACTTGTTTGCCTCTCCCTCAGAAGGACCCCGGGTCTTGGCCCACACGAGGTACTGTGGACCATGCCCCCCCACCAGGTCCTGTCCTGTCCTCCCCTGCAGTCCATGGGACACAGACCTGTCCTGGAGGCCCACGGGCTGGTTGTGGAGACTGCCGCCCCGGTCCACAGTTGTCACAGAACGGGTGTAGGAGAGAGCACAGCGGACGGGTCTCAAAGAGCCGGCAGGTCCGCAGGTGAACCGACAGCTCCTCTCTTCCTGGCCCCTGCCCGCTGCAGGGGCTTTGTCCGCATGCTTTCTTGCCCCTGTGACCCTGTGGGGAATTGCCATCCTCCCAGGCCCCAGTCCCATGGACTGGGGCTCCCTCTTTCCCAGTAATGTCAACAGAAGTGTAGACCGCATCACATCTGGAGGAAGTCAACCCTCAGGGCCTAGCATGGGGGCTGTGATGAGGGTGTCTTCAGGCCTAAGGTTCAGAAAAGCCTTGAAATCTACAGAAAACAGGGTTCCCAGGCCTCCACACTGCCCGCAGGGAGCGGGCTGACTCGTTCAGGAAAGTTTTGCATGTCGCGTTTTGCAGAGGCCGGAGCATAGTCCCGGTTGGAAGGCACCGAATGGTGTCATGGAGTCTTGTTCCCAGGTTCCTGTGAAATAATGAAGACGGGCAAGGCAGATAAAGTGGCCCTTGGAACTCACTGTTCCAGGAACGAAGGAGCCAGAAAGCTTTTGTGTCTGGTCCTTGGTGGACCCATGCAACCCCCAGGGCTTCAAGCCTGGAAGGCCCAGGCTGGTGTTAATGCTTTGCTGTCGCCATCTTTAGGTTCCCTATCATTTTCAGCAAGGGAGTCGTGTACATGTTTTGCATCGGGCCAGGCTGGGGTCCTACGGACAGGGAGGTAGTTGGAGTAGCAGGTGGCCGGGCCTGAGGGATATCTGCGTGCTGCTGCCTCAACACTGGGCTTCATTCCTTGGGAAAGGAAGCTCCCGGCAGGTGAGGAGTGGGAAGGGGCAGGACGAGATGTGCACTGAGGGAAGGGAGCCTGGGAGCTTGCTGGGACAGGGCTGCGTGTGGGGCGCTGAAGCCCAGATGGGATCCAGCAGGAGCCCAGCTCTCCTCTTTGCTGCGGCTGGCCCTCTCCAGTCACCGTGGTGGAAGCGCAGGATGAAGACAGACCCAGTATTTCCACTTGAAGTCTCTGATGGCGGGTGTCTGGAAAATAACTGAACAGAACAAACCTCTCCCCATCTTAGTCCATGGCGTATCCTCCCGCCCTCCCAGCAGTGAACCTGGATGTGGAGGAGTGTCGTGCCCACTGCAGCCTATTTATAGATCTTGATGCTCTGGGGCCCAAGAGGGAGAGCCCTGGGAGACAGCGTGCGCACCAGGGGCTCAGCCTTTATGGGGGGAGGCTGTCTAGGGGCTCAGAGATATGGTCTAATTTAAAGCAGAAGAATGGGAATTAGGATGTGAGTAGGGTGAAGCGGGTCACCCCAACTGAGAGCTTTCTGAAAAAGGGACCTCCATGAGTGGGGACAGCCCAATTCATTATGTTTGTTTTTTGTTTTGTTTTGTTATGTTTTGTTTTGTTTTTGCTAGAAGCTGTGTCACACAGCTGCAAATATGTTTATTCCAGATAGAGGTCTTTGAAATGGATGCCTCAGCAATCAAAAGTTCAATGTCAGGCCCAGATCCCTGCTCTCCCCACACCTACCATCCTATCCTCTGTCCATAGCAGCAAAGGGAGTGGTCCTCCCACGCCAGCCCTGCAGGGGGGCTGACCCCAGATGCCTGTCCTGACTGCGTGCCTTGATCATCTGCCTCCAGGGCCTCGGCCTCACCACCCACCCCGCCCCGGAGCCCTGAAGCCTTGAACCTCACTGGATCCAAGGCTAGCCAGCTCATCATCTAGGCCTGGCTTAGACATCCATCCCTCTGTGAGGCTACCACAAAGGACCCCGCTCCTTTCTCCAGGGTCCTCACCTGTCTGCAATGTTTATAGGGTTTATCCTTTCCCTGCATGTCTATTCTCTGTCCTAGTTTATGTGAGCTTTGTGATAGTAAGAGCTCTGCATCTACCTTCAGGTGGGTCCTGGACAGTAGACAGTACGAGACACCTAGTGTCGTGCCCAGCCAAGACAGGAGGGGGAGGCATGGGTGGACAGAAGTAGCAGGAAGAACCAAGGATGGGCATTTGGCAAGTAGCAGGCGCTGCTGGGTATACCGTACAAAGTAAGGGTCCAACTTTGATCTTCTGCATGTAGATTACCGGTTGTCCCAGCACCACTATTGAAGACTCTTCTTTCCCCTACCGAATGGTTCTGGTACATTTGTGAAAAACCAACTGGCTGTAGATATGTGGGCTTAGTTCTGGGCTCTCAATTCCTTTCGGTTCTGTATGTCTGCATTTATGCCGGCACTGTAGCTCTATAGTGAGTTCTGAAATCAGGAGGTATGTGTCTTCCAACTCTGTCCTATTTTAGGACTCTTTTGGCTATTCTGGGTCCTTTGGAATTTCAGATAAATTTTAGAACCAGCTTTTCCATTTCTGCAAAAAGAAGGAAAAAAGACTGTTGGGGTTTTTAAAGGGACTGCATTGGACCTATAGATCAGTAAGTAGTGTTGCCATCTTAGCGATATTAAGTATCCCAATCTGTGAATGCAGAATGTGTTTATTAATAATAATAATTGATAATAATCTTATTTAGATTTTCTTTAATTCCTTCCAGTAGGAGTTTTCATTTTCAATGTAGAAGTCTTGTATCTCCCAGGCTAAATTTATTCCTAAGTATTTTATTCTTTTTTATTCTATAAGTAGAATTAATTCTTTTTGTTGCAAATGAAATCTGAGTTTCCTTTTTGGGTTGTTCATTAATGTTTTATAGAAACAACTAATTTTTATGTGTTGATATTGTATCGTGTAACTTTGCTGAATTCACTTATTAGCTCATGCCATCTGTGAATAGAAATAGTTTTTCTTCTTCCTCTCCAATGTTTTTTTTTTTTGAGATTTTATTTTATTATTTTTTTAATATTTATTTATTTATTTAACAGAGAGACAGCGGGAGAGGGAACACAAGCAGGGAGAGTGGGAGATGGAGAAGGAGGCTTCCCACTGAGCAGGGAGCCTGATGTGGGGCTCGATCCCGGATCCTGGGATCATAACCTGAGCTGAAGGCAACACTTAATGACTGAGCCATCCAGGCACCCTAAGAGATTTTATTTTTAAGTAATCTCTACCCCCAATGTGGAGCTTGAAGTCACAACCCTGAGATCAAGAGTCACATGCTCTACTCACCGAGACAGCCAGGAACCCCTTCCTGTCCAAGTTAGATGACTTCTTCTCCCTCTTTTTCTTGCCTAACCATTCTGGCTAGAACTTCCAGTAGAATGTTGAATAGAAGCGGTAAAAGCAAACATCTTTGCCTTGTTCTTGACTCGGGGGGGGAAGCTTTCAGTCCCTCATAATTTTGATGTCTTTATCATTAGAGGGCATCGGGTTACATCAAATGCTTTTTCTGTGTCCCTGAGATGATCACGTGGTCTATCAATACAGCACATCACATAGCTTGACCCTGATGTATTGAGCCACGGAACAGTTTGACTACAGTGTGTCTCCGTGTGGGCCTCTTTGACTTCATCCTATTTGGAATCTGTTCAGCTTCTTTGCAGATTCAAGTATTTCATCTATTTTAGGAAATTTCCAGCCATCGTTTTTTTCAAACATTTTGTTTCTCTGTCTTCTCCTTCTGGGATTGCTGTTAGGTGTTTGTCGGTATGTTTTATGGTGTCCCACAAGTCCTTTAGGCCCTGTTCATTTTCTTCTGCTCCTCAGAGTTTATAATTTTAATTGACCTACCTTCAAGTTTACTGATCCTTTTCTCTGCCAGCTTAAATCTGAAGTTGAAACACCCCCCCCCAACAAATTTTTCATTGTAGTTACTGTACTCTGCTCCAGAAGATTTCTATTTGGCTCCTTTATATAATTTCTCCTTATTGATATCCTTTATTTGTTGAGAACATCATTCTCCTGATTTTTGATAGCTCTTTGTTCACGCTTCTTTTAGCTCTTTTTTTTTTTAAGATTTTATTTATTTATTTGACAGAGAGAGATCACAAGTAGACAGAGAGGCAGGCAGAGAGAGAGAGAGGGAAGCAGGCTCCCTGCTGAGCAGAGAGCCCGATGCAGGACTCGATCCCAAGACCCTGAGATCATGACCTGAGCTGAAGGCAGCGGCTCACCCCAGAGCCACCCAGGCGCCCCTTTTTTAATTTATTTTTAAGATTTTATTTATTTATTTGTCAAAGAGAGAGAGAGTGAGAGTGCGAGAGTGAGCACAGGCAGACAGAGTGGCAGGCAGAGGCAGAGGGAGAAGCAGGCTCTCTGCTGAGCAAGGAGCCCGATGTGGGACTCAATCCCAGGACGCTGGGATCATGACCTGAGCTGAAGGCAGCGGCTTGACCAACTGAGCCACCCAGGCGTCCCTTCTTTTAGCTCTTTAAGGGTATTTAAGACAGTTGATTTAAAATCTTTGTCTAGTACATCCAATGTCTGGGCCTCTTCAGGGACAGTTTCTGTTAACTTCTTTTTATTCCTGTGAATGAGAGATACTTTCTTAGGTCTTTGCATGCCCCTTAATTTGTTGTTGGGAATCAGGCACTTTTAGTATTTGATAATATAATGTGATAACTCTGGAGATCAAATTCTCTTCCCTCCACACGGCTTGTTTATGCTGCTTACTATGGATTCTAGTTGTTTATTTTGGAAACTTTTCTTTCTTTTAAGATTTTACTTATTTATTTGAGAGAGAGCAAGCGCATGAGCAGGGGAAGAGGGAGAAGCAGGCTCTCCTCCGAGCAGGGAGCCCGATGCGGGGCTCGATCCCAGGACCCGGGCATCATGACCCGAGCCGAAGGCAGAAGCTTAACTGGCTGCACCACCAGGTGCCCTACTTCGGAAACTTTTCTAAACTGTTTTTGTAAATACTACATTCTTTGCTGTGTGTGCTCACTAGAGTTTGTTTCACTAATTTAGTGTTGGGCCAGAGCCATGACAGAAATTTCCTTAAATGCCTGGAGCCAACAAAACAAAACTGCCTCGTTTTTGTAGGTTGGCTCTGAGTTGAGGTGCTCCTTCAGTGCTTCGCCTCTGAATTTACGACTGTCCTGCGTCTTCCTGGATACATGGGGCCTAACGGTCAACCAGAGTTGAAAGCCTGGGGTCTTCTCGTTTCCTACCATGTGTTTAGTACTGATCATATGCATGGCCTGCTAGACTCCCTGGTGAAGCCGTTATTCCCACATGTACCTCCTTCTCCAGCCTCTTCCTTCCTAGGCTTTTTGGCCTCTCTGCTGCTGGTTCCATCTCTTACCCCTGCTACAGGTGGCTGTGGCTAGTATATGCCTTTAATGCTTTTGACAAATGCTGCTCAGGAGGCCACTGAGGGTTCTGAGAGGGCATAACAAAGGCAAATCCCTGAACTAATCCTTCAGGGAGTCCCCAGACAGGTCACCAGACGAACATACAAATGCAATTCTTTGGGAACAAGATCTGTCCTGTTCCCTGTAGCTTCAGCAAGTCACACCAATACCACAGACCGCCGTCCGCACAGCCCTTCCTAGCTGCAGAATGGGGTTGGTAGGCAGGTAAGTAAAAAATGCCACCACACCTCCTAGTTGAAATTTGATAGCTTTTTTCTTCATTAAGCATTCTCTTATCCTTGGTTGGTTTTTTGGTTGTTTGTTTTTGTTTTTCTTTCTCTTTTTCTTTAACCAGAGTCAAGTTCCCAAAAAGTTAGCTCTGAAAGTTTTTGCTGGCTTAATTGTTGCCTTAGTGGAGGGACTGATTTCAGGAGCTCCCTATTCTGCCATTTTTGGCAACGTTACCTTCCTGTTTGATTTTTAAAAATAGTTATTGAAACACAATTCCCATACTCTTTAATTCACCTGTTTAAAAATATACAACTCAGTGATTTTTAGTATATTCACAGAGTTGTGCAACCATCAGCACCATCTAATTCCAGAACATTTCATTCACCCCAAAAGGAAACCTCCCACCATTAGCAGTCACTCCCCATTCTCCTCTTCCTCCAGCCCCTGGCAATCACTAATCTACTTTTTGTCTTTATGGATTTGCCTGATCTGCACATTTCATATAAATGAAATCATATAATATATGGCCTTTTGTGTCTGGCTTCTTTCACTTAGGGTTCATTCATGCTGTGAAGTGTATCAATACTTCCTTCTTTTTAAGGCTCAGTAATATTCCATTGTACGGACATCAACAGTTCGTTTCTTCTTTTGTCATTCGATGGACATTTGGGCCGTTTCCACTTTCTGCCTATGATGAACAATGCTGCTATGAAAACTCACAATATTTGTCTGGACATGTTTTCATTTCTCTTGCGAACACACCCAAGAAGGAGAAGTTTAGGGGCATATGGTAACCCTACGTATCATTTTTGAGGAACTGCCAAATTGCCTTCCAAAGCAACTGTTTGCTTTTTATATGACACATTTTCAGCCTGCAGAACTGTATGAGAAGTATTATAATGGACACCCATGTAACTGCCGTGAAGCCATCTCAGAGCCTAACCTGAAAGGTTGTTCTTTAAAGAAATGACATGCACTGCGGGGCTCACTGGGTCCACAGTGCAGGTCTGCTCCGCATTCCTATTGCCCCGCGCACCCTGGCCAGCCCAAGGGGGGCAAGGCCTTGAGTTCCTCATTGCATGTGCATGTTTGTACTTTTTCCTCTTATTTGTATCCAACGGTGTATGGCTCTGTTTCCCATGTCCTAACCCTATAAATGGTGTCCTTCTGTCACTGTCATCCCGCCCTGGCTTTTGTCCTCCTACAACGTGTTCTGCGGCATACCCATGGGGCACTGCTTCAACTGTCTTTGCTCCCTGACCGCATTCCACCTGAGGAAGGTTCCAGGTGAGGGATGTCCAGGCTTTCCATGTTAGTCAGAGCTGCAGGCAATGTCCTCAAGGGCCTCTCAGGGGCACACATGGGCATGGAGCGTTGGATGAGAAGACCTGTCCTCAGCTGCCTCTCGTGTCACCATGGCCTCATGACTGGCAGCCGTGGAAAGGTCCGGAGCAGGGGGGTAGGGCTGCATTTAGAAGTTCGTTGGAAGGATAAAGGCATACTATTGCTCTTGCCTTGCCCTCACTGGCGGGGGGGGGGGGTCTTCAGAGATGCTCCTGGGATTGGATGCCCTCCCTGTGCAGGAAATCTGGGGATTTAGGGGCTCTGGGTCACACCGGTCTCTCACCATCCTTTTCTCCCACCCAGTTCTGGTATCTCTCACCGAACACCAGGACAAGAGCAACAGGGAGGAGGAAGAAGGGATGAGCCCGAAGTCCCGGAAAGACCCATCCCAGGTGAGCCCGGGGCCCTGGCTCCACGCTCCTATATTCCTGGGGCACCATGAGCACAGTGCTGTGACAGGCTGAAGGACATCCCATCCAAGCTCTGTGTGAGGCTGTCCCAACACTCCCGGAAGCCTGAACCCCACATTCTCACCAGCCCCACAAATCCCAAAGCTTGCTGCTGCTCGGTGCAGTTCCCACAGTCGTGCTCTCCTGCAGACTGTCTTCACTCCCTCCACCCAGTCCTTTACTAGGCACCAGCCAGCTGCTGGGGTCCCCGTCCTCATGTATAATCCACAGCCACATGCTGGGCATACTGAAAGATTTCTGGGGCTGCCACCCCAAGTGCTGCCACATGGGAGCTTGGGTGCCCTGGCTCAGATGCCATCCATAGTATTAGTATCTGTAGTAGTCTCATACCTGGGAACCCTGTGGATTCTCGGAGGGGCTGGGAAAGACTCCACGAGGGCAACCCTGACAGCAAGATCTATTCTTGCAAAGGCCCCAAGTGAGAGGGGACCACAGTGCATGACAGGGACCAAGGGAAACTTGGTATGGCTGGAGCTCATGGAGTGATGGGGACAGGCCCCCAGCAGGGACTGGAGTGATTAAAACAGACCATGCAGATGTGTTAACAGGTAAAACACAAAGGAAACAAAAACCAAACCACATTCCCTTCCCTCTGGCATCAGATTCACAGCACGTTGCTCTCACCTCCCGTCACCTCTGTGACCTCACCCTTCTTCAGACCACAGGCCCCTCTGGCTCCCACTAATCTGCCGCTCTGTCAAATATTAACCATCAGTGCTAAGGCCCTGTCAGGACCTTCATCCCCTGCACGTGACTGTCAGTCCAGGTGTCCTTGAGATATCCTACTTCTCCTTCATACGGGGCCGTGTGGCCTCCCTCAGTCATGACCAATACTACCAACTTCCCCTCCCAGCACCCCCTCACACCAACACCATCCACAAGCAACCTCGAAGCATCTTTGGCTTCCTTTTGTTTTCTATGTCCACCCTCAGAGAGAAAAAGGACAGGAGTCACCTGCTTCCCTTTTAAAAATGGGAATGTTACAAGGAGCACATGGAAAGAGCCATCAGGGAAATGCAAATTAAAACCACGATGAGATATCATTACACACCTACTGGAAATGCTAAAAGTAGAAAGAGGGGCAACAGCAAGTGCTGGCAAGGGAGTGCAAAAACGGACTGTTTCATTGCTGGTAGGAATGCAAAGTGGCAAAACCAACCTGGAAAACGGTTTGGTTGTTTCTTACAAAAAGAAGTACATGACATATGACCCAGCAATCCCACTCCTGGGGCTGGGTGTTTACCCAGATGAAACAAAACCTTGCGTTTCTCCAAAAACCTGCACACAAACATCCACACCAGCTTTGTTTGTAATAGCCCCAAACTGGAAATGGCCCACGTGTGTGTGCGATTGAATGAACAGTCATTTATCCCACACACCACGGAATACTGCCCAGCAAAATCATGGAAGAAACTCTTGATTCACACACAACTTGGATAGATCTGAGGGGCACTCTGCTGTCACAACAGTTAATCTCAAAAGGTACATCGTAGGAAATCCCATTTATAGGACATTCTTGAAAAGACAAAATGATAGCCACAGAGAACAGATTAGTGGTTGCCAGGCAGGAATTCCGGGTGGAGGGAAAATGAGACTCTACAGGGGTAGCACGAGCGAGTTTGCTCTGGGTGGTGGAACCATTCTGGTCCTGACTGTGGTGGTAGTTTCATGAATCTATATACGTGTTAAAATTAACAGACCTGTACGTGCATGCACACACCCACAGTCAAGTTTATATAATTAAGTAAAATTAAGAAAAATTAAGTTAAATTAAGAAGCCACTAAAAAACGATAGTATTTCCCATCAAGTCAAAGTTCAGTCCCTTCTGTGTTCCCAGAGACCACCCCCTCTTATGATGCAGGGGTCTAGTATTATTTTGAGGTTTTCTGATTTGCATGGCGGTTTTTATGAAGGACCCGCTAGTCTGTATCTTTTTTCTTCTCTGGCTACTATGTTCTGCCTGGAGACCATTTTCATTCTTTAGTTAATTACTAACAACGGAAAAAAGACATCTAAACAAAAACATGAGACAAAAGATGAGTAATGCACCCACTGCTCTGCGGAAGAGCTCAGCCCACCAAACCACCTGCGTACCTTCGTAGCTGTCAGCCGCAGACCACCCCGTCCTTGAATTCACCTGTGTGAATTTCTCTCTGATATGCTATGGCTGGGGGGGGAGAGGAGTTATTCTTAGTTGTCTTCTTTTAGGCGGACAGGACAAAATATCTTTTTGTAAAAACTCTTTAGTGTGGACAACTTCAAACACACACCATGTGGTAGGCTGAATTAGGCCTCCGCCCACCCTCTTTGCCTCACCAAATGTCCACGTCCTCATCCCCTAGAACCTGGGAGTGTCACCCTGGGTGGCAAAAGGGACTTTTTGTGGGTGTGATTAAAGGAGGAGCATGAGAAAAGGAGATTGCCCTGGATCCAGTCTGATTGGATTCTAACTATAATCACAAGTGTCCTTATACAAGGGAGCAGAGGGAGGTTTAACAACAGAGACAGGACAGTGACCCGAGCACAGAGGTAGAGAAGATGGAGTTAGGGCCACAGGGCAAGGAACGTGGGTGTGTCTAGAAGCTGAGACTAGGCCAGGAAACAGACTGTCACTGGGTGCCTTCCGAGGAAATGAGCCTTGGCAGACAAACTTTAGCTTGGGGAAACGGATTTCCGACTTCTGGCCTTCAGAGCTGTAAGAGAAATTTGTGTTGTTTTCAGCCACTAAGCTTGTCATGGTTTGTTACAGCAGCCACAGGAAACTACTACGCACTGCATACACCAAAGTAGAGAGAGCAGGGTGATCGAGTAATGGACCCGGGGTTGTAATGGGACTTTTGTGGGCCCTAAGAATTTTTGTCCGATAAGAATCATATCAAGATTATATGCATGAGCTTCCCCGAAATAGTAAAAGTTATATTTTATGACTATGTGGTATAAAGAATATTTTCTAGGCTGGACTAGTCACCATATTCACCGTTCTTCCTGAGTGATTAGAAAAGACATTAAACATTATTGAAAGAAACCCCTTTCTACAAAAAGTTTCATGGGCCCTGGGCTCTGTTTCTGGCATGTGATGGAGATGTCAGCCCCAGATGGGCCATGAGTGCCTGACACATAGTGAGAATCCATTCTGGATCCTCCCCTCGGTAATCACACGCGTGCTCACACCCCATCTCCATGCACTACAAGTAGGGCCTGGGCTTTAAGGACTCTTCCCCCCACCCAGCTGTACCTATAATATTTTTAATTTTTTATTGAGATATAATTGATTATGTGAACTGATATTATGTCAGTATCAGGTGTACAACATAATGATTCAATATACACATATATTGTAAAACGATCAACTACAATAAGTCTAGTTAACATCCATCGCCACAAGTTATAGATATTTTTTCTTGTGATGAGTTGCTCTCTTGGCAACTTCTGCATATACAATACGGTATTATCTACTGTAGCCCCCATGCTGCACATTACAGGCCCGGGACTTGTTTTACAACTGGAAGTTTGTAACTTTTGACCTCCTTCATCTATTATATCTCCCATACACACCCACATGCCCCTGGCAAAGCATCCAGACTCTTCTTTTTTTAGATATAAACCCAGCTCCACTGCCTCAACGAAAACCATTAGCAGCAATCCCTCAATAGCAGTAAAGGGCCGGCCGGCAGTCATATTTGGCATTGTCCTTATTTTCTCTCTCTTGGCTGGTTAGACGACAGATGTGGGTCCCCACATCCCACTCATTGCCCCACACTGTCCACGGAATAATCAGAGCCCTGGTCAGCAGGACTCTGGGGACATTTTTTGTGTTTGGAGCTATAGAGAAGGCTCAGAGATGTCCTAGTTTCTGTGCCTGGCCCAAGTGTGTCGCTATTTTCAGATGTCTCTGGATGGTGGCCCACACCTCCAAGTCAGGGGGACTAACATGCCCTAACATGCCCCCACCCCACGAACACATACACACACAGGTCCTGGGCCTTCTCTCTCAATCCCTCACCATCCATGGTCATGGTCTTGGACCACAATGGTCAGGTACCAGGAAGAGGGAGAGGGACTCCTGTCTTCTCCCTTGCAGATGGTGGCCCCTCTGGTGACTATTATAGAATTCAACCAATGTTTGTCTTACAATGGAAACTAGTATTTAGTAAGAAACAGAAAATCAATAATTCAGCCAATCTCACCATCCACATATTCCCAGCTTGAAAGTGAAGAACCTCATACCTTAATTCTCTCCCACCACACCCCATCACCACCCCTCCCTCCATCAGTCCCTAGTGCCCAGCAGTCCCAGCCTGTGCCTTTGGGGGGCCCTTTATCCCCACACCTGTATCCCTGGTGGGTGAGAGCTGCAGAAAGCAGAGTCCAACCCAAGACAGGCTTTTCTGACAAGAGCTTGACCTCCTGGTTGATTTGCATCACTTCCTGTTTTCCCAGCACACTTTCTCAAATCTTACCCGTTCGCCAAGCCCTTGCCGGGTGCCTGGCTCTGAGCAAGCTCTGCAGATATGCCCTTTCAGGCCCAAAGAGGGAAAGCCCCTTGCCCAGGGCCACCCAGCAAGTAGGGCTAGCTGGGATGCAAACCAAGGCCACACATTTCAGATCCTCACTCCTTAGTGGCAAGCTCTGAGAGACTCCATTTTGCGTGGGATGTGTGCCTGTTGGTGGGATGGGTGACAGGAACACTTTGGTGACACGTGAAACATGGAGCCCCACTGCTGCGCATCACCCTCTGGGGGACTTGTTCTCAGGCACAGTGCAGCTGGGAGGCACAGGTCAGAGCCCCACAGGTGATACTGACCTCAGGTGATATTGACCTGACATAGGGCCTGGGACTCCGTTTAATGGCATATTGCTGCTGTGAAATCCTCAGTGGTTTTCGAGTGAGTGTACTAGTCTGGGTTTTCCACAGAAACAAAGCCAGTAGGATTTATATAGACATACAGAGAGATGTATTGAAAGGAACTAGCTCACACAACCATGGAGGCCAAGGAGTCCCTGAAGTGCTGTCTGTAAGCTGGAGACGCCAGAAAGCCATCTCCAGGGCAGGAGAACTCCATCTCAGGCCCAGAAGTCTAGACCAGAGGAGTCTCACTCTGAGTCCAAAGCCCAAGAATCAAGGAGGGGTCCAATGTGAGGGCTGAAGGCGGCTATCCCATCTCAAGCAGAGAGCACAACTGCACCCTTCTGGCTTTGTGCTCACCTTGGGCCCTCAATGGATTAGGCAAGGCCCACCCACACCAGTGAGGATCATGTTTACTCACACAGCCAGGACAAAAGCTAGTCTTCCCTGGAGACAGCCCCTGCTCCAAATCCCAGAAATGATACTTTACCAGCTATTGGGCCATCCGTTAGCTCAGTCACATTGACTCCTAGAACTAACCATCACAAAGGGGCCCTGAGTTTCCATTCTGCACAGGGGGCCCCTCGATTTATGTCTCCAGTCCTAGTAACAGCCCTCTGCGAATGCACCTTTGGGGTGCAAAAATTAAATACAAAATGGAGACCAGACCTGAACATCCCCTGAGCAGACAAAAACCACTTACCACATAAGTGAGACTTCGTTTGGTGTGTTCTGCCAAACAAGCAAAACATAACCTGGGCCACCTCAGTAAAGAAACTTAAGTCCTCTTCCTAAACGCAGTGTAAGCTAGTCACTCTGAGCCAGCCCCTGCTGTCTGGAAACCCCCTTTTTAATAACCACCCCCAAGAAAGTTAAACAACCTCCTCATTTTCACTGTATAAGCCCTCAGGCTTCACATCAGTCCTGGATTTGAAAGCTCCCAGTTCGTAGGCTACTCTTATTTGCACAATAAACTCTTACTAAATACTGTTTATCAGTTTGGTGGCTTTTTTTTTTTTTTTTTTTTTGGCACCTTTTTTGGGATTGGGGTGGGGAGGAGTGGTGGCTTTAGTTTTACATTCCTGGATTTTTTAAGGGAGGCGATGCTGTCCTTTTGCTGTGGTGGCTGTTCGGAGCCCTGCGCAGCGCGGGGCAGTCGCTGAGCAGGACTGTGTTTGCCATTCCAGGCATCGGAGCTGGGGCTCCCCCAGGAGGGCGAGTGGCTGCAGCCTTCCCAGCCCCAGCGGAGTCCCCACGCCAGGGCGGGGGCCGAGGCATCCTGCACCCTGGGCTCACTCGGTGAGTGTTTGGGTCCTTCGGCAATCCTGAGGGCTGGGAATGAATTTAAGGTCCGGTGAGGGTTAGACTTTGCTGATAGCAGTGTTGGGGGGGCTTTGATGCCGAATGCTATACCTTCCCCCAGAAATTGTGCACACCAGGACTGGGGACTGGTAGCGCGCCCCCTCCTCCCTCCCGCAACAGCCACTCAATCATTTCCACCCCCTGACCAGGGCTTCAGCCTCCTAGCATGCAGACAGACGGTCCGAAGACGCTGCAGCACGAGGTCCCCTCAGCCTCCCACCCAGGTGAGGACAAGGGGCCCCAGGGCTGAGGGATCTGCCCCCCTCATCCCTTTATCTTAAGAAAGGAAAGGATTGAGGGCACTAAGGCCCTACCAAGTAGAGTCTCTGCAGTCCCTGGGAGGAGGGGAACGCGAAGATGCCCAGGGTGTGGCCTCCAGCCCCTGCCCCTTCACTAACAATTAACCCTTTCCCCTCACCCTCCCCAGGCCCAGGCTGCCTGCTTCCGAAGCCTAGTATCTGGGATGAACCTCCCTGCGGGCCGGCTGGGGACGGAGCCCTGAGGAACAGACACTCCCTCCCCAGGCAGGCCCAGGACGCTGCCCGGGCAGAAGGGAGTGCCTGGCAGGCGGAGGCTGCCCCCAGGGACACTGCGCTTCAGGGCACTGGAGGCCAAGGGCCTGCTCTGGAGGGGCCCCTGCACCCGAGCCCTCAGCCCGGCTGGGTTGCAGACCCCACCCTCCCCAGTGCTCAGAGTGGCAGTCCCCAAAAGGGTCTTGGGGACAGCGATGCCAGCGGCACCCACCTGCCCTTACTCAAAGACCCCAAAGCCTCCCCTGAAGAGGCGGGGCAACCGCTGGCTGCTGCCCCCTCCTCTGGGAGCTCAGCGGCGCCCCAAGTCCCCCCAGGGGCACGGCCCTTCACATGTGCCGAGTGCGGGGAGGTTTTCATCTGGGTCACCCACTTCATCGAGCACCAGAAACGCCACCTGGAAGAGGGGCCCTTCTCGTGCCCCGACTGCGGCAAGGCCTTTCTGCACGCCTCGGTGCTGGAGGAGCATCGGAAGATCCACCTGCTGCAGCCGCCGCGCAAGAGGCCCCGGCGGGCCAGGGGCGAGGGGCCCGGGGAGGCCCGCCGGTTGGAGGCGGCGGGCCGAGGCCCCCGCGCCCGAAACGCGAATGGAGGCCGGCGCCGGGAGTCCTCCAGCCGCGAGCGGCCCTTCGAGTGCGGCGTCTGCGGGAAGGCCTTCCCCTGGATGGTCCACCTCCTCGACCACCAGAAACTGCACGCCACGCAGTGAGCGGACGCGGGGCCCTGGGTGACGGCGGCCCCCGGCGGACTCGTCCTGCCGGCGACCCGGGACCCGCCACCCCCGCCGCGTCCCTTCCCCACCCCCCGAGACGCCACCCTCGGCATCCTGCGGGGCGACCCGAGACCCGCTGTCCCCTCCGCCGAGTCCCCCGGGTGACAGCCCCCCTCGGCGGACTCGTCCTGCAGGGGATGCGGCAGCTGCCACCCCCGCCGCCGCGTCCCCCAGGCGATAGCGACCCCCGGCAGACTCGTCCTGCGGGGCCACCCGGGACCTGCTGCGTCTCCCGGGCGTCGCCGCACCTGGCCCTTACCCCGGGTGACAGCGACCCTCGGCAGACTCGTCTTGCGGGGCAGTCCGGGACCCGCCGTCCCCGCCGCCGCGTCTCCTGGGTGTCGCCCCGCCTGCCGCTTACCCCGGGTGACACCGACCCACGGCAGACTCCCCCTGCGGGGCGGCCGGGGCCCGCCGCGTCTCCCGCGTGTCTCCGCGCCTGCCGCGTCCCCCGACTGACAGCGACCCCCGAAGGGCCCGTCCTGCGGAACGACCGGGACCCGCCACCCCCGCCGCCGCGTTCCCCGGGCGACAGCGACCCCTGGTGGACTCGTCCTGCAGGCGACCCGGACCCGCCGCGTCTCGGGGCGTCGCCGCACCCAGCGCTTACCCCGGGTGACCGCGACCTCCAAAGGGCTCGTCCTGCGGGGGGACCCGCAACCCGCCGCGTCTCCCGCGTGTCGCCGTGCCTGCCGCGTTCCCCGAGTGACAGCGACCCCCGAAGGGCTCGTCCTGGGGACCACCCGGGACCCGCCACCCCCGCCGCCGCGTTCCGCGGGTGACAGAGACCCCCGAAGGGCTCGTCCTGCGGACGACCCGGGACGCTACGCGTCTCCCGCGTGTCTCCGCGCCTGCCGCGTCCCCCGACTGACAGCGACCCCCGAAGGGCCCGTCCTGCGGAACGACGGGGACCAGCCACCCCCGCCGCCGCGTTCCCCGGGCGACAGCGACCCCTGGCGGACTCGTCCTGCAGGCGACCCGGGCCCGGCCGCGTCTCCCGGGTGCCGCTGCACCTGGCGCTTTCCCCGGGTGATAGCGAACCCCGAAGGGCTCTTCCTGGGGGGAAGACCCGGGCCCCGACGCGTCTCCCGGGTGTTGCCGCGCCTGGCGCTTACCCCGGGTGACAGTGACCCCCGAAGGGCTCGTCCTGAAGAACGACCCGGGACCCACCGTCCCCGCCGCCGCGTTCCCCGGGCGACAGCGACCCCTGGCGGACTCGTCTTGCAGGCGACCCGGACCCGCCACGTCTCCGAGTGTCGCCGCGCCTGCCGCGTTCCTTGGGTGACAGCGACCCCCAGCGCCGCGCGCGGCTCGGCCGTCGGCCGTCTGTGTTCCGCAGTCTACAGCAGAGGCGCTTGGCCAGCACCACCAGCCCCAGCAGCCTTTCCCGGGGGCGCCAGGTCGGCCTCTGCGCCCTTAACCTGGCGGCCCTACTGCGCTCCGCGGAAGGAGGCGGGCTGCCCGCCCAGCCCCTGGGAGCCTGGCACACACATGGGGTTCTTTTACGTGGAACTGTCCTCTTTTCTTTCTTCTCTTTTTGGTCCCCGCCCCCATTCCTTTTTCACTCCTTTTTTAGGCTAAAGTACACACAACGTAAAACTTGCCATTTTTACTTAAAATGCACAATTCGGTGGCATTAAGTACAGCACCATGTATTCTGCAGTATTTTCATCACTCCCAAAATGGGTCCCCCACACCCATTAGCAGCCACTCCCTATCTCCCCGCTCCGCCCCTGACACCTACCAGTCTGCTTTCTGGACGGCTTTCAGGCAGGGTTTTTAGGTATAACCAAATCTGACCACCACATGACTTCTTTGATTCACAGAATGACCTTTTTTTTTTTTTTTTTTTTTAAAGATAAATGCCAACATTTTTCAAATCATAGATGTCACATAAAAATCTGGCGTTATGGTCGCCCCAGATTTCCCAAGAGCAGGTATGCAGTCTCCCAAGCACCTCAGTTCACCCCACCACTTCTGGGGATAGCCTGCCTGCACCTGGATTCAGCTTTTCACCCGTCCCCAACTCTTCATTACTGGGTACCACTTGCCCCCGGTAAATGAAAGCCTTGCAAATTTTTCTTTTTTTGTTTTTGTTTTTTTGGAACTTTACTTGGAAATAGGGTTGGATTGACTCTGACCACATGTAAGCAGAGATCTTCTCCTTTAAATCACACATAAGTCGCCTTTCAACTGGAAAAGCCTTTGGATCTGCCCCACCCAGCCCATTGCTGCTTCTCCTACCAAACTGCCTCCCGCATCCCACCTGCAGCCTCTGTCCCCTGGCACCCTCCAGGGCCACGCAGATCCTTCCACTGCCTTCGCACCCTTCGCCGTGCTTGCCTTCTAGGAACTCTCACTAGCTGGGCCTCCAGATCTTGCTCGTGGCTCGCTCCAGCATCCTGGCTTATCCTCGAAGTCCTCCCTGGGGGCTTCTGGCCCTACTCCATGCCTTAATTTCTTGCGGGCTCCAGCTCTCATTTAAGCACCTTCTTTCTCATCCTGCTGAGGCAGTTTCTTCCTTGGAGCTCAGGGGGCAAGGGTTGGAGTCTTGGCCCCACAGTTGGCCCCTGATCCTTCAGGTACAGCACACATGATGGGCAGGCTTGTTTAAGATGACAGGATATGTGGACAAAGAAATCCCAGTGTCCCGCCTTGTTGGGGGCCAGAGATTCATTCCAATGCAGCTTTCATTCCAAGCCCCCTAAGCCAGAGGCACATTCACAGCTCTCTGGGTTGGAGCAGAACTGTATGAGAGAGTGGGAGCCACTGCCCACAAGATGTCAGTCGACCCCTCACTGCCATGGGCCCCAACCATTCTCATGCTAACAGCTCTGAAGATGGGGTTCTAGGAAGATGGCTGCCAGGGCATCCCACAGACCAACTGCCCTCCAGAGACACCTGCCTGGTGTCCCTCAGCCCTTCAACTAAGCTTGTCGAAAGACAAGATTGATCAAAAGAAAACCAACTGCCTCCCCTAGGCCATCCCTCCACCCTCCGAGGCCTAAGGATCACCCTGTTCTCTTTTCTCCTCTGCACTTAACTGCCCCAGCCTCCCTTTCTTCTGTCTTCTTTTCTGCATCTTTGGATGTCTGCAGCTGACTCTAAGCAAACTCTGCCTCCAGCCCATTCCCCTTCCATCCCATCCAATACCAGCAGCCAGCAGGATCCCTCTGAAATAGACACAATGAGATGACATAAAACCCAGCTGACCAGTTCCCTCAAATCCCTTCCTGCTTCAGTAGCCCCTAGCAGTGGGGTGTTATAGGCTGGCCTCCTGCACCCACACCCACTCTGTTCCCACCTGTCACCACAGCTAATCCCATGCTGGGCCTCCTCACCTCGAGGGCTGCCTGCTCTGTCCAGAACAGTCTTCACTGCAGCACTGTACCAGTGCCTGGTACAGAGCAGCCCTCTGCGAGTGAGAATGGGCGAATGGTCAGCAGAGGAGGAAGTGGGCTGTAGCCACTGCCAAGACCCCACTGCAGGGCCACAGTGATCAGCCAAGGAAGCCTTACTTGGACCTCTGAGGAGATGGGGTGACAGCACCATGGAAGGCCACCATCAACGCTCTCTGTCTTGGCTGACACAGGCACAGATGTGGCCCAGGGTCCTGGGCCTAGAGAGTCACTCTTCAGAATCCCGATTGACCAAAGCAGACAAATTGAGTTAATTGCTCAGCCTGCCTAGTCCCAAGATGCTGCTTAAGCTGTAGTGAGATAGAGTACCAGCTCCCTCTTCTCTTTTTGCTCACTCCATGCACGCTTGGCTCACCCTGTGCCTTCGTCTGCCAGTGTCCCCTGCAAGATGCCAATAGCTGCACATTGGGACACCTCCCAGACTCCTTGTCTGTCCTCCAGCACTTTGTCACAGAGCATCTGCTGGGCCAGGTACTGGGTGCAGGCCAAGTCCTCATCATCTCATGCTCCAGAACCAGAGGCAAACAGACCACCCTCCTCCCCACCACAGCCAGGGCCTCTGGGAGCAGAGACCTGGATACTGCTAGGTTTTGAGGCTCCCAAAATGATTTTTTTTAAAGGCTGAAATATATACACAAGGCACACTGTAATATATTTAAATGTATATATTGAACAACTTAACAAAAAGAGTGTAATGACGTTGTGCTATCCGTGACATGATTATAGAATTCCTTGAAACCTACACTGATTCCTAATGCAACTGCTCCTGGTGCAGTCCTGTCACAGCCAGGTGGTGACCGCTGTGGTTTGAGGAAGCTGAGATTGGCATGAGTGGGCCCCAGCCACTGGCTACAACATGGTCTGGAGGGGTGAAGGCCACACAGAGCTAACCTTCAGATCATCTTCTTTAATTGACAGTGGTTTTGAACTCTTTGAATTTCCTGTGAATTGAGATTTCACACACAAATCCAAATCTTTGGCTTCTTTTGAGAAGTACAGCCCTAGTGCACCAGGCTTACCTGTCCACATGGCACCCACTTGGTCGAGACCATCAGCTCCCATCCATTTACAGCCCAGCCCCTGCAGGCATTGGAGTTTGTGAAAGCTGGTTGGAAAAAAAACAACAATTAGGAGGCTAGAGGAAGATAACAGAGGGGCAAGCCCCAAGGGAGCTGGCCAGGGCAACCTGGCTCAATATTAGGGCTGGGGTATGTCCCCATGAGCAGGCAAGTCTGTGTGGCACCATCAAGAGCTTGTTACCAGGACTCTGCCCAGACATGAGGAAAATATTTCATAATAAATGTGTACACGCCTTCTGATACAGTTAAGGGAAAGTAGGGGGAAGCATACACATTTCGTGGAAGAAAAAACTAACAGTAAACAATTATCTTTTCGCATTTTGGTTTGCAGGTGAGAGAACTGATAATTGGCATTTTATGTATATTTTAAAGACTTCATACTGTGGTATAGAGAAGGTGGGCTTTCAGTATGACAATCACAAATGTGAGCCTTTATAGTCTTTGAATGTACAAGACACTTTAAAGAAAAGCTTGTCGTTGCCTTGTTTACATCAGTGCACTCTGTGTTTGAGCCATCTGTACTTTTCTGTAACAACCACTGTTGTAGGGCTTATGAAATTTAAAGTCTTTTACTCATGTGAGAACCAGCCTAATCTTTTCAAGTGTCTTTACGCCTAAAGAAAAGGTATCGAGCTAGGTTTTTCCCCAATGTGAGAATTCCTACTGTCTCTCTGCTGTTTTCAGAGTCAGCGTCGTTACAAATTGTTGTGCCAAACAAAGAAAAAACGCCCGCGTCTTGACACGTTTTCTCAGCTTCAGATCCAGCTCGACAGCCCTGGCTTGAATCAGTCTTTCTCAGCGGGCAAGTGCCCAGGCTCAGCCTCGGGCAGTCATGTCCGCTCGCGGCTCCAGGGCCGGTCCGCGCATCAGCGAAAGAAAGTCTGGCTCGTGGGGCTGAACGGCCACCGCGCACACCCCGTCCACTGGCGCCTGGCCCACTGCTGGCTGCCGTCCCCGGGGCCCGGCCGGCCCTGGTCACCGTCCCGCCAGCTTCGGATTCCGTCAGTGCGGACACACGAGCTCTGGACACTGCGCTGCTGCTCAAAGGCACACGTGACAGTGACGAAGAGCAGTTTAAACACGCGTCCAGCGCAGACGTTTCCTCCGGCCGCGCCCTGGAGCCCGCGAGGGGGGTCGGTGGCAAGTGTCGACGGCTCGCACGTGTATCGGGTCGTGGTGAGTGTCTCTGTTTCAACTTGGGTGTGTGTCATTTTGCGTCTCGCACTTCCCGCTGTTTCTGGATACTCCAGTTTGTCGGACAACAATAAAGCTTACGGCACAGTGTCCACCATGAACGCCGCACGTCGCTGCTCCCGGAGGACTCCTCTCCCTCACGGGCCCTGCGCCCACCGCCTCAGCCCGGCCGCGTCCTCCCGGAGGAGACGGCTCCTCGGCATCTTCCCACGGTCTCTGCTCCGCGTCCTCCCTCACCCCCTGACCACTATATCTACGCTAGTCCCCGGCCAGGGGCCGCGGTACGAGCGCGGGGGCGACGTTCGCGGGGCCCACTACACAGTCCGCGGCAACCGTACACTTGCGACGGCGCCTCAAACACCGCGTCAAAACTCGAACTCTGCGCGACCGGACGGCCGGGGCAGAGGCGCCCGGGCCCTTGCATGGACCTCTGGGAGTTGTAGTTCGGCGCCCGCCTGCGCAGGCGCCGTCCCGGTCAACGGCAGGCGTGGCCTTCGTCCCCGGTCATCAGACAAGGGAATGGGTCGTGGAAGGGTTTTAGGGCGGGGCGGCGAGGCTAAGGCCGGCGTGGGTCCTCGAGGCCGAGCTCGTACTGCGAGCGGACTCGGGCGAGGAGAGCACGGAAACGACCGGAAGTGCGCGCGCCGCCCTCTGGGAGATGTAGTTGGGCGCCCGCCTGCGCAAGCTCAGACCCGGCCGGTGGCGACCACGGCCTTTGTCCTGCGGTCCCGCTGGTAAGTGAGGCTGGGGTGGCCGGAACGGGGGAGGCCGAGACGGGCGGGGATCCGGGGTCTTCCCGCGCGCGCCTGTGGAGAGTCCCCTTTCCTGCTTTGAGCCCGGGGCCGGTCGCCTCAGAGGCGGTGGGGGCGGGGCCCAGTGGGCGGGGCCCCGATTGGGGGTGGGGGTGTCTCCGGGTCCGAGAGCAGGAGTTGGGGTCAGGGTGGGGCCCTGGCTTTGGCAAAAGGGGTGGGAGCCACCGGCTAAGAGCGTCAGTCAGAGTGACCAGCTGGTCTGACCCTTCAGAGACGCGCCACCTGACCTGCAGCCTTCCCCTGCTTCGGTGGGACGTCCGGGGTTTGGAGGGTGGGGAGGGCCGAGGCCCCCTGCGAAGTCGTCTCTGCAGCGTCACCTTAGTGAGCAGCCGGCTTCTCTGGATGGTCGTGAGGGAGACCAGGAGCACACACTTTACTCCCAGCCGCCGGGGACCCAGGAAGCGACCTCATTATGTTAAGGTCTTACTGAGTACCATCCAGGCCCCGTCATTATTTCAGCAAGCACATGTTTAGATGTCCTGGGTGCCAGGCCCTACCCTATACCCCAGAGCCCCCAGGGGAATCAGGGAGATGGTAAGAAATCTGTCAACACATCACTGAACGGGAGAACTCCCATCTTGGAAACTGCTGTGTAGACAACGGGGCACAGACGGGATGGGCCGGAATCAGGGGAGCACAGGAAGCGTCAAGGGGAGGTAGAGCCACAAGGGAAATGCATACAACCTTGGGCCCGAGTTTCATCTGGGGCACTCAGCCAGGGAGGAGGTGTGGGTACTCGGGAGGTGCTCACTGAAGTAAGAGGCTTTTCTTCCTGCACTGACTGCCTTCATGTGTATCCTGCTGCGTGCTATGCTCCATCTTCAGCCCTTGCCACACCTAAATTCCTATAATGTCCGTGCTGGCTCACCACTCTGATTTTATGAGTTGGAGAAACTGAGGTAAACAGTACCCAAAGACCCCTATCTAGCTTTCTGTCATAGTAACAGAAATATCAAACATCTGGGCAACTGGGGGTGTGCCCTTTGCTAGCCGTGGCCCTCAGTTTTCCTATTTGTGAAATGGGGTAGGAGAATTCAAGGTAGTCTGTCAGCAGTGCCTGGAGTAGCACTGGGCACACGGTAGATGCTTGGAGAATGCCAGGCTGAGGTTTTGCTGCTGTTGGGTTTGGCCTGGGCACAGGGCTCCGGGCTCTAGCAGCCACAGCCTACTTGCACGCACATCCTGGGGTGCATGGTTTCTGATCACCACAGGCACTTGCCCAGTCTCTTGCATCCCCTTCCCCCACAGAACCACCTGCAGAGGAACTGGCTGTTTCTGGAAGAGGCCAGAGAAGGAGGGAATGACCGCTGGGCTCGTCGCTGCTGGGGCCCCGGTGAGCACACCACCACCCTCCCGCTCAGGCCTCCCAGGCCTGGCCTCACACCCCCACCAGACTCACTCTGCTCTCAGGGCCTTTGCCCTTACTCTGCCCCCGCCAGGAATGTGCCCAACCAGCTCCATCTTCCCCCAGATCTCCCACCTCACCACCTCTGAGAGGATCTCCCTGAGTCTTTACCTGCCCTGTTCTACCCTGGCAGACAGCGCTAGTCCATTCCACTGATGTGTCGAGCACTTTCTCGACACAGGGTTCCGGTGTACTCCCAGTTCACTCACTCCACTCAGTCCCCTTGGTGACCTGCCATTGACTAGGTGCCCTTCTAGGCACTGTTGTAGGAATTGCAGGTGCAGGAACAGACAAGCAAAAAATTACCATTCCGGGGCGCCTGGGTGGCTCAGTGGGTTAAAACCTCTGCCTTCGGCTCAGGTCATGATCCCAGGGTCCTGGGATGGAGCCCCGCATTGGGCTCTCTGCTCAGCAGGGAGCCTGCTTCCCCTTCTCTCTCTGCCTGCCTCTCTGCCTACTTGTGACCTCTATCTATCAAATAAACAAATAAAATCTTAAAAAAAAAATTACCATCCCTATGGGGCTTACAGTTCCTACGAGGAATGTAAATGTGCCACATGTTGTGCAGGAAAATGAGGCCCAGAAGAAGATGGCTTGGGCTCCAGGCATTACCCAGTATAGCCCAGAAGACCTCCCTGAGGAAGTGACCCCCAGACAGAGACCTGCAGGGGGGCTGGGAGTGAGATCAAGGGCCCACAGGAAGAATGTTCCAGGCTGGGGAATACTATGAGTAAAGGCCTGAAGATGGAACCATGCCAGGCACTTTCCGTAAGAGCCAGGCACGTATATGTAACTGGAGGACTGAGAACAAGGTCTCCTAGGCCAGCTGTCGGGGGCCTGGGGATTAGGGCCTTGGGAACTGACAAACCATCTTTGCCGTGTGCAAAGGCCCAGAACACAGTAGGCGCTCAGTGAATGGATAGAAATACGCCAAAGCCTGTGGTCAGTGCTGGACCTGTGGGTGGGTGCACTGCGTCCTACACCCACATCAGCCCCAGGACGCTGCAATGAGGAAACCAGGACACAGAGGCATGTCCCAGCCCTGAGGCCACACAGCTGGGAGTGGCCAAGCCAGGCCTGAGCTCAGGACACCTGGGCCCAGCTCAGATCCCAGTGCCTTTGTGGCTCTTGCAGACCTCTGCGTGACCATTCCAGCAGCGCCCCTCCCGGCCTCCCATTTTTTCGGCAGCTCCCAGACTCTGCGACTAGAGCAAGAGCACCCTGTGGCTAGGGGAGTGTCTGTTGTTACCTGGCCTCTGCGGTGCCCAGAACAGGGACCCACGCTCACTGGGACTCTGCAGAGAACCACTAAGACCTACTAAGTGGGGAAAATGTAGCAGAAATGGGGAAATTGGTGAAAGAAAATCAACCCCCCGCCCCGAGCCTCTAGCACACCGGCCTGAATGGGGGCTTACACAGGTAAAGCACCCATTCTGTGCGGGGCCCAGCGCACACATCACAGGAATCCCCTTATGCCTCCCAGCAGCCTCCTTGGGGAGTTCTCACTAACTCACAGATGAGGGCAGGGAGGTGCAGAGCACTTTAAAGGATGGACCTGGGGCTGGAGTTTGAAGCCCCATCCGTCTCGGGCCGAGTCTGGACAGCACCACCCCCAGATGCCTAGTTCACACCGTCTGCAGCCCCATATCTCCCCGCCTCTGGTGGGAGGAATGTTAGAAGAGGCAGATGCTGCTTGCTGGGCCAGGATCTAGTATTTGGGCACCCTGTCTGTGTCCCTCACTCGGGGCAGTGACACCTAGTGTCAGGGTGAGCCGTGGACTTTGCCTCTGCCCCCACCCTCCCGCCCCAGCCATCCACAGCACTTGATTTGGTGAGAAGAAACTGCCTTTGTGGGGGATGGCTGCCCCACTGCCCCTCACGTGCCTTTGAGAAAATCATGAATTCCCAACCCAATCCCGGAAGAAACTGGCCTTGTGTGGGAATTTCAGAAAACATACACAAGTGTGGTGGTGACGAGGATCACCCCAGGAGCCACCATTAGGCTTTCTCCTTGGGGATCGTGTTTTTACCCCAATATGTAAATGTCCAAAATTAGTCTAAGAAACGGTTTCCAGGGGTCCCATCACTGGACACCCCTCCCATCCGGGTTTACTCACTTGTTCTTCCCACCACTCCACTGGCTCCTTTCTTTCTCCCCACTTTGCATTCAGGTATCGTTCGTGGGCAGTGCAGACTGACAGGAGTCTGCAGCTTGGTGACCGCAGCTGTGGACACCAGGGGACATTCTGCCTGACTCATTGGAGGTTTTCAGCCTCCCAGGGCTGCTTTGTGCCGCTCCCTCGGTCACGGCCATGATGGCATCTCAGGGGTCCTGTGTTTGCACGACTGGGGTGTGTCCTCTTATACCCTAAGACCCCCTTTTCTCCAGCAGAGCCCCCAGACACACACACCCCCGGGAAAACGTGGTCCAAATTCTCAGACCTGAGAAAACCCCTCCCCACCCCATCTTGGCTGTCCCCGTCTGCCAGCTGCTCCCACTAGCAGCCATCGCCGGGCTTGGCCTGGGTGAGAACACCTGTGTGTGACATTTGTTTCAGGAGCAAGTGACCTTTGAGGACGTGGTCGTGGACTTCACCCGGGAGGAGTGGGGGCAGCTGGAGCCTGCTCAGAGGACCCTGTACCGCGATGTGATGCTGGAGACCTTCAGGCTCCTGGTCTCCGTGGGTAAGGCCACACTTAAACACCCGATGGTCTGCGCCCAGCACAAACTCTAATTCTCCTGGTTTAACAGTTGGGGTAGGTCTAGGCCTTAAAAGCAAATGCCTAGGAGTAGTTTGGGGCTTTAGAGACCTGATGTTTGGTTTCAAGTACAGATCCCACCTGAAAATGCCAGGAGCCAAAAATCATGGGTTAAGAGGGCCTTAGTGGGTCCCATGACTGCAGAATCGCAGGGTAGACCTGAGTCTTCCTGTGGTCTGTCAGGAGCCCTCTCCCTTCATACCTCCTCCATCTGGGTCCAGGGCCAAGTCTTGCCAATGCCACCACCTTCTGCCTCCATTCACACATGGGCCCCCTAGAAGTGAGGGGAACTGCCATAGTGCCTCATCTGTGTCTTGTCCTGGGCCCCCAGGGAAGGCCCGTGGGTCGTCTTGTGTGGCAGCCAAGTCCCCTCCACACTGGTCCTTGTTGCTAGCCGGTGGTCGGGGGTGCAGCAGAGCTCTGACTGGCTGCAGCTGGATCACACAGCCCCCTCCCCAGAGCCAGGGTTGGGTCCCTATAGGGCCAGGCATCAGGGCCTCTACCACAGCTGTGGCCTTTGGGGCCTGCAGTCGAGTGGGTCGCGGAGGAAGGAAGGTGGACTGGACAGAGGGATGAGAAGGGTCCTGGAACACCAACGCACACTCGTGGATCCCCACCCTTGAGCAGAATGCTGGCTCCCCAGGCCGGATGTCATTTCCCCGCTGGAGCAGGAGGAGCTGTGGGTGGCAGATGCAGGGGTTCCCCAGCATGTGTGCCCGGGGGAGGGGAGAGCTCTGCAGGGCTGGGAGGAGCCCATTCAGCCCCGTGGCACTCTCTCTCCATATCTGCCCTCGCATTCTTCAGAGCAAACTGATGACTCGGTCTTTCAGTAAACGTGCACCAAGCACCCGTTCTCCTGTGAGTGAGGCCTTCAGTGAGCCGACATCCTTGGTGAGGGAAGGGGCACACAGTAAGCAGGTAGAATCATAGCTGCACGAGATACTCACGGTGTATGATGAATGCTGAGGCTGGGTGCAGGGCGCCCCCGCAGGTTGTGGGGAGGACCTGAGCAGAGAGGAGGCTAGCCTCTCCAGGGAGGTGATGTGTGAGCTAAAGCCCGAGTCATGAGAACAGTGCCACCTCGAGACAGGCTGGGAGAACAGAATTCCAGGCGGAAGGACCAACAAGTGCAAAGGCACTGGGGTGGGACAGCAGCCTGCTCTTCCTCTGTAACAAACCCTCTCACCTCAGAGATTTAAACCACAGAATCTTCAACGACTCACCTGTCTGTGGGTTGGTAGATCCCGTCTGGGCGCTTCCGCATGCCTGTGCAGGTTGTGTTCTTGGTACATCTTATTCAGCTCCTGCGACCAGTACCAGCTCTGTAGGAAGTGGGGCTGTCCCGGCACTGGTGTCAGGCCCTGACCTAGTTTAAGCAGCGGCCTGTCACCGGGGCCCGGGAAGAATGGCCAGTGTGTGGGAAGAGTCACCACCACGTCTCTGCAGCTGCAGGAGCAGGCAGCCCTTGTCTAGGACATTCGCTTTCTGTGAGGGTTGTAACGAATTGCCAGCAGCTTAGTGGCTTAAAGCAGCAGGAACTAGCTCCCAGTTCCAGTGTCGGTGTCGGTGCTGCAGTCCGGGGGCAGCAGGCGGCATTCCTCCTGCGGAGCCTGCGAGAACCCGTGTCCTTTCTCCTTCCGGCTCCCAGAGGTGCCCGCATTCCTTGACCCACAGTCTTGTCCATCTTCGCAGTAAGCACAGCTCTGAGGTCTGCTCCCGTCACTCTGGCCTCGGCCCTCCCGCGTCCCTCACTCACAGATCAGGACGCTTGTGACCGCTTCCTCACTGGTTCCAGGAATTAGAATGTGGCCGTATTGGGGACCACTGTTTTGCCAGCCACACCTGGCTTGAGCTCTTTTTTTTTTTCCTGAACACTTCATTAGAGCGTGATGTAATGGTAGGGCGCCCCCTTACACTTTTAAGCCAGTCCGGTGCTGAGCTGGGGACGCCAGGCTGAGGCTGTGGCTGTGCAGGGCACCCTGGGTACCGGGGCCAGAAGGCAGTCCTGCCAGGAAGGGAAGGAGGGGATGCATTCGTTTGTTCATTCAGCGTGTCTGCTGGCCTCTGCCATGGGCAGGGGTGCAGCGGTAACCGCGGTGGACAGAAGCCCTGCCCTTGGGGGCTCCCAGTGGCTGAGACAGACCCAACAAACCAGACCAGACCAGATCCAAGTCCTCTTGCTCACCTCCGGTCACTTATCCCTGCCTCTGGCCGTACACACATCAGCCGGCTTCAGTCTGGGGAGCTGGTAGTTTCTCTAGATCTGGCCGAGTTGGAGCAGCAGCGGGAGGGCTGTGCCGGCTGGGCCTTCACCGGAGAGAGGCGGGTCTTCCTCCTTCGGCACCTGGCGCTCGGGGGCTGCTTTCGCCAGGGCCTGGCCATTGCTCAGCCCCTTCCAGCCTGGGGCATCTGCCGACAGCTTCCCGGGATGCTTCCCGGGAGGCTCACCTTCTGCCCCGCGTCCTCTCCGTGCCCTCGTTCTCTGTGGTCCCCTTGCCAGCTGCCCCGCCTCTTGACGATTCTCCGTGCCTTCTTCCCTGCTCCTGTTCCTCTGATCTGTGAAGCTGTATTTTTAAGTGGTCGAAGCCACTGGTGTCTTCAGCCTTTCTAAACCAGCAGTTTTAGTCTTTAGCCACCCGCCCATTGCAAATTCTTCCCCCCCAAACTGGAATTAAGGGGCATCTCCATTTTTGTTTCTTTCAGACTTGGAAACTCGACCCAAAATCAGACTGTTCTCTCCAAAGCAGGACATCACTGAAGAAAGAGGCAGCAGTGGCCTGGTGGAAAGGTTCCTGTGGGAAGGTCTGTGGTACGCCGCGGGTGACGATGCCGAGGGCCACTGGGGACAGAGTCACGAGAGCCGAGACAGCCACATGGTGAAGGCAGCCTTCACGCCTGTGAGGATCCCCATGCAGCAGCAGCAGCTGGGGAATGGGTTCAGGGAAAACTTGATTCTGAGCCCCCGTCTCCCACCTCAGGCGATGACTCCTGAAAGGCAAGGCCTCCACACGTCGGGGACACGCGCGAAGAGGGGGAAGCCAGACCCGGGGTTCAATGCTCAACCGAAAACATATGCAAAGGAGAAGCCCTACAAGTGCCAGGCCTGTGGAAAGGCGTTTAGTCACAGCTCGGCTCTCATCGAGCACCACCGAACGCACACGGGAGAGAGGCCCTACGAGTGTCACGAGTGCGGAAAGGGCTTCCGCAACAGCTCGGCGCTTACCAAGCACCAGAGAATCCACACGGGCGAGAAGCCTTACAAGTGCACTCAGTGTGGGAAGACCTTCAATCAGATCGCCCCGCTGATCCAGCACCAGAGGACGCACACTGGGGAGAAGCCGTACGAGTGTGGCGAGTGCGGCAAGGCCTTCAGCTTCAGGTCCTCCTTCAGCCAGCACGAGCGCACGCACACGGGCGAGAAGCCGTACGAGTGCCCGCACTGCGGGAAGTCCTTCAGGCAGAGCACGCACCTCACGCAGCACCGGCGGATCCACACGGGCGAGAAGCCCTACGCGTGCGGGGGCTGCGGCAAGGCCTTCACGCACAGCTCGTCGCTCACCAAGCACCAGAGGACTCACACCACATAGGCTCACCTCACACTTGCCAGGACGCCACAGAGCCCAGGGCCCCAGCTCGTCTCTTCCGGACCTGACCCGGCCGTCCTCGACGGAAACACTGGTACGAGCACACGCGAGCCTGGGCGCCCAGTCCGCGGCCCCGACACCCTCCGACCGAAGGGACGGACACAACTGCGGGAACCCGGAGCTCTAGGTCGTCCGTCCCTGGACGGCAGGTTGGGGGCAGAAGGGGAACGCGGAGTTCGTCCGTGTTGAGGGCCTTGTCATGAGTGCCCTCTAATGCCACATCCCAGAACCTACAGGAAAAACTGGGACAAAATGTAGCCGATCTGGAGATGGCTTCTGTCCAAGGATTCGATATTCCAAACTAGGATTTTCAAAGCGGTGAGAAACCCCACAAATGCTTTCTGTATACAGGAACCGGATACACAGAATTTATCATTACTGCACATGACGTTTTGGGGAGGGGTGCTTACAAATGGTGCAGGGTGGCTCTAAGTTCTTCTGCAGGACTCACAGGCATTAGAAAACACACATGTTGCTGTTTCACAAAAAGGAATATTTTTCCTTTGTTAAGCCACTGTTTTATGAACAATAGTGCCTCCACATTGAAACCTTTTGTTTTGCAAGGTTTATCTCTGTTGAGAAATGTACGAGTTAATCTCTTGACTGTTGTTCACTGAGTCTTCTTCCTGGTGTTTAATAAGCTTTTGTTTCTGTTATTTATCTTGAGGGTCCACAGTACTACATTAAATCCTGAATCCACTCACAGCAGTCTCTCTGACAACCACGACCCTTGAATGGTGACTTGCCATCCTCATTAGAACCCATACTTAAATTACATTGGCTGGATTTGGTCACCAACCATCAGGGTTCTTTCGGTTGGCTTGATTTTCTGATCACAATGCCGGGATGTAAATTTCTCCCTTGGAGGAAAACTATTACAAATAGTCTTCCGGTAGTCCCCAGTGTGCTTGTGCAATGCCTCCTCTCCCTTTATTGGTCTTTATAAGCCACTTAAGAAAACAGCCGTCTCTGGTAGAAACTATGCAGGCCACATCGGTAAGTTTAGCTATTGTCATAGTCATATTTAAGAAGCAGGAAGAAACAGGTGAAATTAATGTCTGTTCCTGTAGATCCCAAATGTCACCTTTCCAGCATGCCACTACAAGAGACCACCCGTGAGACGTTTTGGTTGCTTCTGTATAGGGCACCTTTGAAATCCAGTGTATATTTGACTTTTGAGGCATAAGTCAGTTCGCTATAGCCTCCTTTCCGGTCATTTGCCACAGGGACCCAGCCAGTGGCTGGACGGGACTGGGCGGCTCAGTGGCCTTGGTCCTCTGGTCAGCTGTTTTGTCCTCCTCCCTTTTCCCGGGCTTCTCTCCTTGTGTTGTGTCTTGTCCTAAAGGAAACCAGATGTTCTGAGAAGATGCGCCTCTTTAGGTGAATGGCGTGACAGGCTCCTACCCCTAAATCTAGTGCAGGAAGTAGGTCAGGCACAGTTCACTCTCTAGGGAGATACTTCTCATTGGAGAACACTGCATCTGGGAAAGGTTAAGGCTCCCCACTTTGAGTTCAGGTCAGTAAAAATGGAACCAACCACACTGTTTCGCACTCCTTTGAAAATGGCAGGTGACTGAAACTGAGTCACACAAGCTCTTGTCCCGCACAGCCCCGGCTCCCCTGCCCCCACAATGACACACACAGGAATACAGCCCGGAGTTGGGAACCATGGGGAGGTGCCCACAGTATCACTGCCACCCTCCATGGCAAGCGAGACACAAGTTTCCTCCCCAGCAGGGCCACACCAGTGGGGGAACTTGAAGTTACACCAGAGTGTCAGGAAAATGGCAGGGGCAAGTGTGCTCCTGACCAGAGGGCCTCATTTACTTGGGAGAGTTGCTGGTATGTCTCAGTTACTGACACAGAAGTTGAAGACCCAACAAGGAAGAATGAGAGGCGTGAACACAGATTCAGAAGAGGCCATGCAGTTTCCGCCTCACTCAATGGGACGCTTGTGCTCGGAACCCAGAGACGCTACGTGAGAAGTCCAACCGCCACCGGGCCGCTGTGAGGTTTCCTTGGTGCTTTAAATATCCCAGCTAACGGCCAGAAAGGATTTCAGCATCTCATTTTATATAGCTTTTCTTTTTAAGTTTTAAGTTTTTAAGAAAAATCACCATGCCTAAAACTTAAGATTCAAGGGATACAAACATCATATTGGTTCTCAGTGTGAATGTGCTATTTGCTTTCCAAAGCAGTCGCACTGGTTGACACTGGTTTACAAACTCAACCCAGAGCATGATGAAGGCCTGTATTAGTCCATTCAGGCTCCCACAACCGGATATCTTAGGGTGGGTGGCTTTAACCACAGAAACTGATTTTGTCTCAGTTCTGGAGTTGTTCTTTGCTGGAAGTCCAAGACCAAGGTGCTGTCCAGGTTGGTTTCTAGCGAGACCTCTCTTCCCCGTTTGTAGATAGCCGCCTTCTCACTATGTCCTTGCACATGGCCTTTCTTCTGTGTGCACATGATGAAAGGGTAATCTCTGCTCTTCCTCTTCTTTTAAGGATATTGAGGCTGTGGGATTAAGGCCCCATCCCATTATCTCCCTGCAGGCCCTATCTCCAAATACAGTTACATGGGGGGTTAGGGCTTCAGTGTGTAAGTTTGGGGTGGGAGGCAATTCAGTCTGTAAAAAAGAGGGTATGTAAGCATTTTCTTCTCATTGAAATTTATTCCCATCTTGCCAGTTTTCCATTTGTGGGATTCGCCCTCCCCGCCCACTCGGAACAGTCATCCTTGGACACCCTGTGGAAACTAGCCAGGAGCTCCATTCCATTCTTCCCGCCGGTGCATCTAGGGCTCTCTCTTGCCCTCCAGATACCATGTCCTTTTTGAGTCATGGCTCAGTGCCCCATGATCTGTACACTTCCCAGCCCTCCTAACTGCATTGGAGACACCAGGGCTGCCGCCTTGTGCTTTCCATCTGCTCCATCTTTCTCAACGGGCCACATCCCTACCTCTTTGGATGGGAGACCCTTAGCACAAACCCAAGGCCCCTAATGCCTGAACTAAGGAAGCTTCCTCTGAGATTAACAAGTGGAAACATCTGGCTATATTTCTGCCGCTCTGTAGAACCAATCATCCATCTGTGTGCTCTACCATGCCTTGGTCAGGTTGGTGGCGGCAGGGACCAACAAACAAATCCTGACAGCTTTTCTAGGTTTGGTTTTTGTAGTGGTTTGAGAAAAGCAATTCTGAAATGATTTTGAGAGGTCTTTTAGAATTTAGCATACTAGTAAACATGCTGATTTCAGAGTTTTCACTTTTGACATAATATGGGGGAGTAGCAGAATGCGCATGGAGGTACTGCTGTACATGTATGTGTGTGTGCACACGTACGAACACATACAGGCCTTTGTGTTTGTACCTGTGTGTCCACGTTTCCCAGCTCACTAGAAGATACTCTAGTAGCAATGAATACACCTCAGGTTTGAAGGCACTCAGATTTGGTCTCAGAGCAGCCCCACTAAAAGGAACCAGTTCTCTGGAACTGGAAAATGGCTGATTTTAGGGTAGGAATAATTTGGGCTTGGAATAACTTCTTATACTAAAAAGAACTGTGCAAAAAACAGGCAAAAAAACAGAGGCATGTCACAGGGATGCAGGAGCCTTCTTGAAGAGACTCTCATTGGCCACATCTGGGACAACTTGGGTGCCAAAATAACCAAGGATGGTAGTAAGTTATAAAACCTGAAAAAACATGGAGAACACAAGAATCCCTAAATTCATTCTGATTATAAGGACAAATAAATGGAGAGAAAGGAGGGCACTGGCTTGCAGCAGGATGCCCAGGGCTGGGTGGCGAGCCCAGAAGGAAGAGTGGTGTTAGCCAACAACTCGGGGCGCCTGCGTGGCTCAGTGGGTTAAGCCTCTGCCTTTGGCCCAGGTCGTGATCTCGGGGTCCTGGGATTGAGCCCTACATCAGGCTCTCTGCTTGGTGGGGGGCCTGCTTCCCCCTCTCTCTGCCTGCTTGTGATCTGTCAAATAAAATCTTCAAAAAAAAAAAAAAAAAAAAAAGATAACCAACAACTCTGCAACCATCATGGCAAGAACCATCAATGGAAGAGAAACTGGGTGAGGGGGCATTTGGGTGAGAAGCAGTATACCTCCACTATCTTCACGTGTCTCCCCACAGACTGCTTATTAGCTAAGGGGAAAAACAACCGTAAGTGGACAAACTGGGCACTCTGAGCAAAGGAATCCTCACTGGAGTAGTAACATGGACCCAGGCACTCCAAAGTGTGTGTGGTGGGGGCAGCGGGCACGAAGCACAGGCAAACGGGAAAATGTTCACAGGGAGGCGGTAGAAGATTTTCTGTAAGGAAATTATTTCTAAATAAAAACTTAAAATATAAACAAAAAAGCCACCACCATGTAGCTGTGCACTAAAGAAGACCACAGATGGGAAATGAACAGATGGAGAGCCAGGCTTTCTGGTAAGGGCAAACCATCAGTGGCCCTGAAGTTGAAAACAGGAGCACCGCAGGTGTTACCTCTCTGTGGCAGGAGAGGCAAGCTCATGGGTTAGGCTGGGAAGAAGAGTTCAGAGAGCAAATACAGGTTTATTTATTTAAAGATTTTATTTATTTATTTCACAGAGAGAGAGATCGAGATCACAAGTAAGCAGAGAGGCAGGCAGAGAGAGGGGGAAGCAGGCTCCCCGCTGAGCAGAGAGCCCGATGCGGGGCCCACTCCGAGGACCCTGAGATCATGACCTGAGCCGAAGGCAGAGGCCCAACCCACTGAGCCACCCAGGCACCCCCAAATACAGGTTAAAAAAAGTTACCAGAGGGGCACCTGGGTGGCTCAGTGGGTTAAGCTGCTGCCTTCCGCTCAGGTCGTGATCTCAGGGTCCTGGGATCAAGTCCCGCGTCGGGCTCTCTGCTCAGCAGGGAGCCTGCTTCCCTCTCTCTCTCTCTGCCTGCCTCTCCGTCTGCTTATGATCTCTGTCAAATAAATAAATAAAATCTTAAAAAAAAAAAAAAAAAGTTACCAGAGCCATAGCCAGCTTAGGATGGGGGTGTTGGGGGAAGAGACAGTCCCAGACTCTCACATGTGACTCGGGCTGCAAATCATGGCCCTCCAAGGACATGAATGGAAGTGATGTGCGTGGTCTCCCAGCTGAGCAAGTGCCGCTTTCCCCCAAGCACCAGGGGTCTAGTGGGGAACAGAGCCACGGCAGGGACAGAGCCTGGATCCCCAAATCACTACATGGAGCAGAGCTTCCCTCCCATCGACACACTCAACAGTAACAAACACGAGACTGTCATGTGAGTGCGAGAAAAAAATCCTTTATTACGTTAAGCTGCTGCTCTGGGCATCGTTACAACAGACTGCCTGCTCAAACACAATGACAAAAAAGAGGCACCAGTTTATCTACAAGAAGCAGTTAAGGTTTATGCTCAGGGAAAAGAAATAATGCTGCAATCAGATTATACACACAAAGCAGAAGATCACCTTATGCAGCCCGAGGAGTTAAGCTTCGCCTGTCCAGGAAGTCACAGCTCATCAACCTCTACTGGTGTCTTCAACCTGCTCTGATCACAGGCCTCCATCCTCTGCGCAAGAAATCATCATACTTTGCAGGCAGCTCTCGTATTTAGATGCATGGCTGGGAAGTTTCACGAAACAATATCTGCCTTTACTACATGATCAATTTTTACCTATTCTACTTCATTGCTTTGTAGCACTGGTGGCCACCCACTAATTTGATTTCACAATTCACTAATGGGCAGAGATGCGTGGTTTGAAAACACTGTAATGAGGCTCCAAGCATTTCTGTGATCTCGGTTAAGCCACTCCGCACTCGCAGACGCGTGCATTAACTAGGAAAGAGTCTGCTAGTGAGGATTCAGAAGTGAGCTGGACATCAGGTGTTTACGAAAGGACCAAAAAGCTTGAGCAGAAGCCCTGGGGAGCACGAACAGGAGCACAAGACAAGGCTGACTTCAGCCAGAGCCGGCAGATCACATCCTTTAAGGCGACTCTACACTTAGCGCAATGACAAACGTCCCACCGCGCGGGTGGTGCTGAAATGGCTACGGAAGAAAGGGAATCTTCTTTCACACCCGACGGTTTGTGCTTGCATGTGGGCCTCTACATGGGTGTGTTTACAAGGAGACGAGGGCTTTCCGAGGGCCCTTCCTGGGTTCTAAGCGCTTTAGCCACATTAGCTCATCGAGAAAACAGATCACGTCCACAGAGACACTGCAAAGAAGCCACGCAAGGGTTTCAAAGGAGCAGATACATTACTCGGGAATCCCAGGCGGGTGAAGTTGTCCTCTAGGGACACTTCGAGCAAGTGGCTCATCTCTGCGCCTCTGAGTGCACAGGGAAAACATCACCTGCCACAAACCCCATGCGCCCACTGAGCCTCCCGCTGGCATGGGCTCCACACGCTGCAGGGTGGGGTCCCAGGGCCCTCCCCAATGCGTAGAATTTCTCCTTCTCATGGGTCTTCTGGTGCTCGGCCAGGGCTAGGCTGAAGTGGAAGGTCTTCCAGCAGCCCGGGCACGCGTACAGCTTCCTGCCACTGTGGCTTCTGAGATGATCAATAAAGTGTGAGATCCATGCAAAGGTTTCCCCACACTCGCTGCATGCATAGGGCTTCCCGCGGGACAGGCCAGGCTCCTCAGCAGCAGGGCAGCCTGCTGGAGAACCATCCTGGTCCGGCCTGGCCAGGGACCCTGCACTGTGGCCGGCCGCACCAGGCTCCCTCACGTGGCATGGCAGGTGGCTGCTCACACGGGAGACACACTCGGGGCCCTGCCCACCCACATCCTTCGGGCAGGGCCTCTTTCTTCCAAGGCCTTGGCGCGTGGTGGCTGGCATCATAGGCACCGCGGGGCTCTCCCTGGCTGTGCCCCTGTCCTGGGCTGGCTCCCGGATGACTGACCGCCTGTGGGCCATGGTGACAGGGCTTGGTTCCCCCTCCTGAGGATCCAGAGTCTTCTGCAGCTGCTCCTCCTCCTCTGGGGCGGCTCCCGTTAGGGGGCAAACGAGAATTTCCCTGGTGATCCTCTCCATCAGCGTCTCGCACATGTTCTCTCTACCTTCCTGCCACCTCCTGCCGCCTGAAATAAGGTCATGATGTGAGCAGTCCCAACTCCAGGGACGCCAAAGGGGTCTGCCCTTCGGGAGAAAACTAACGAAAGGCGCAGGCCAGCGACTATGAGATGGAACAGGATGGAAAGCCGGGGCAAGAGGGAAGCGAGTGAGGACATGGTGCTTGCCACACACACCATCGTCAATCCCCTCGGCAAACCCAGGGGACGGATTTGAACAAGACCACTGAGAAGACTGCCGTGTGTCCCCCATCTTTTGCAGTCCCCAAGCTCAAGTGCCTGCCTAAAGACAGTCACTCCCAGCCTGCCTTGTGCTGAAGTGGCCATGTGACTGAGTTCTAGCCCACGAGATGCACGTACAAGTGTAAGGGGTAGGGAGGAGTCTCCTTCCTGCACTGGGGATGAGCTGCAGAGGCCACTGTGACCCATGCGTGAGCAGAGCCTGGCAACGGAGCCATGAGCTGGAGCGCGCCCGCATCCTCACCAGGAAGGGCCCGACGAGCGCTTGCGCAGTACACTAACGTGTTCTAACGGGGCCCCCGATGAAGCAGTCTCCTGGGATTCAGGCCCTTGGGAAGTGCCCCCACCACACACACTCACACATACAACCCATGCACCATGCACACTGGTTTGACCATGTGACCTGCTGGGGTCTAGGGGACATTAAGTGTGCATGATGCAAGCAAAGGCTCGCAGAGTACCACGGGACGGTGCTGACCCTCCCTCTCTGACCTTGCTGCCACACTGTGAAGCAGCTCAGACCAGCCATGTGGAGAGACAATGAGGAGAGCACAGGCTGATGGCTGCAGTGAGCTCCCCGTCAAGAGCCAGCACCAACTGCCACGGTTGAGTGAGACCACCCAGGACGAGTCTCCGGATGACTGTGGCTGTGTACACAGCCCCACAGCCCCACAGGGAAAACAGAGGCCCAGCCAATCCCAGTCACCCCCGCTGGTGTTCAAGTGACTAAGCTTTGGGACTGTTATCTAGGAAGAGATAGTTAGAACAGCTGGACTGCTACCTCCTGCTCTGACATTTGGGGGGTGGGGGCGGCAAAAGTATGGGGCATGGGATGGGGAAGAGTGAGGTCCAAGTTGAGGTCTTTGCCGAGCCCAGCGGAGCTTCGAGGAGCTCCATCAGCCTCCGAAAGGCACACCCTCCACCCTGGCCTGACCACAGCTCTTGGACCTCACCTGAGAAGCTGCCTTCCGGTGGTTCTGTTTCAACTAACCGGAGCTCCTCCGTCTCCAGCCTGCAGGCATCATCAGGCTGGGCCAGCTGAAACCCTGGGTGGGATTTAAAAAAAAAAAAAACACAAACCAGAAAGAGCCATCGAAAGCAGACTAGAAACAGCCAACGATGCACCTCAGCTCTCACAGGTTGGCCGGGGCAGCCCCAATCCTTTCCTCTGTCCTGGGACATCCGCCAAAGCCGCTCGAAGCCCTGGAGAGCGGGGGACTCCTGGCACACTGGGGAAGGGGTGAAGAGAGCCCACTGAGGAAGAACAGGAAAGCCCAACAGGAAATGGGGAAATTCAAGGGAGAGCAGTCAGAATAGACCCTAAAACTACAACCACAAGGAACTCAGAAGTCTGTGCTGGGGACTGGGCTGTGGGCAAAGACGTCCACACAAGAGGGAAGACCCATGAAGGCCAAGAGGCTCCGTGTCTGCACCGAGGAGGAAGGGAAAGTTGACACACTGGGGCCAGGAGGCCTTTCCACATTCAGAAGCTTCAGGTCGCAGAGCAGGGGTTGCAAACTCAAAAGCCCAGGGCTCTGGCAGGCCTCAAATGTGTAGATCGAGAAGGGCAGGGCCAAGGTGGGGGCCCTGGCAAGGTCATTCATGGTCAAGTATGTTCAAAACACTGTGGGGCCTTAACCAGAGCCCCACATTGGAGTTGGAAACCCCTAAACCAATGCATCTGGAAGAGGGCAGAGGATGCAGCATGAGGCCGTGGGGACAGGTCTCACCCCACAGGAGCAGCTTCCGGAAGGTCTTCAGGTTCTCCTCCGCCGGGTCCAGGTGGCCCCACTCCCCCAGGTACAGAGGCACCTCCGGAAATGTCAACTTCTGAAACAGTAGCACCGCCATGGCTAAGGCTTCCCGAGCAGAGGAAGGGTGGACCCTTGTCCCACGACGCCAGGGACCACAATGGGGGTGGCACTATCCTGGGGGGCTCCTCCCTCCCCCCCACCACCATGCAGGTCCTGGACCTGGATCCTGGCTTAACCTGATGGAAGGGTTTCTTGGCCCCAGAACTACGGACTTTTTTTTTTTTTTTTTTAAGATTTTATTTATTTATTTGATGAGAGCGAGCAAGTGCACAAGCAGGGGGAGCAGGAGAGGGGGATGCAGGCTCCCTGTCAAGTGGGGAGCCCGAGGTAGGGCTCAAGCCCAGTACCTGGGGATGAGCCGAAAGCAGATCCCCAACTAACCAAGCGTCCCAGGTGCCCCAGAGCTAGGGACTTTGTCAGCTGGGCCTGTCCCAAGCACTGCAGGATGTTTCCCACCCTCCTCCCTGTGGATGTCAGCAGCACCTCCTCCCTGCAGAAGTACTGACAAGCTAAGCGGTCTCTAGACATCACCCAATATCCCCCGAGGGGCAAAGCCACCCTGGCTGAGAGCCACTGCTGTAGACGACCCCAGAGTCTCCTATGTCTGCCACCCCTGCACACCACACAGGCCCCAGGCCAGCACCTGGGGGGACCGGGACAGCCATCCTCACTGCCGTCAGGAGAAGCAGTCACCATGACAAAGGCCACGGGCTCCATAAGGTCTGGGGGAGCTGTCTCCCGGGGAGAGGAAAGGGCACGTCCAGGCCCAGAGTGCCGAAGGGCAGGGGGCATGGGAGTGGGGACAGGAGTCGTGGCTAGCAACAATGGTGCACCCCAGAAGAGAGGAACAGTGCCCTGGCCACAGCCAGAGGGATGAGGGCCAGGGAGTCGCCATACTGGGTGGGCAGGGAGCTGACAGAAAGGGAGACCCTGTCCAACATTCCTAGGGATCTCTCGCTCTGATCCCAGAGACCTCTCCTCGCCTCATCCCCACCCGCTCTCAGCCAGGCTCATGTCTTGGTTTCCTGGGGTGGCAGCAGGTCAGGAGTCCAGCCCTGGAACCTCAGCCCACCCCAGCTCCTCCTGCGGAGCGGGTGGCATGTTAACAACTGGGAGAGGGAAAGAGCCTCACAAGCTAGGATGACAGATCCACCTCCTGGGGAACAGGCCCGATGAGCCCCTGGACAAGAAAGACCCTACCCACCTTCGGCTCGACCTTTGCAGGCTTGGCCTCTTCGGTCTTCTTGTCGCCGATGTTCCCCTGTTCCAGAAGCACAGGGTCTAGAGAGGGACAGGCTGGGAGAAGGGGAGACAAAGATGAGGAGACTGGTTTTACACAGCTGGGCAGCCCGAACCAATGAGGGAGACCCCACCGCCTCCCTTGCACAGGTCCCAGAAAGAGAGCGAAGAGTTCTCCGACTCAGAGGAAGGGAGGCCCGAGTGCTCACGTCACAGCAGGTCCCAAGCTCAAGGGGCCCCACAACTGTCCTCAACTGACAGAGCAGAGCACACCAAGAAGAAAGCAAAAAGAAGCTCAAGGTCAGCAGTGGCCCCAGGAATTCGAACTAAAAAGCCACAAAGCAGAGAATGCTTTCATACCCGTTAGCGTGACGGAAATCTTAAACAGCAAGAACGTACGGTACCGGCGTGGATGTGGGTAAGTGGGCACCCTTGTACACTGGCACTGTGTACGCTATGGAACTTCTACAAAACCATGTGGAATGTCCTCTTTCCAGTGATCCCAAGGAACCCACCTACACAAACGAAACCTCCCACACCAGGTACAGGCCTGAGGACGTTTAACAGCACATTTGTAGGAAGAGGCAGAAACCTTAATTAATGGCAGTAACTTCCAACTCGGGACCAGGAAGGGCAGATCCTGTGAAATGCCATGAAGGTAAAGGAATGGCACTGGATATCTGGCCACCATCTGGAGGGGGCTGGCTGGGTGACACACTCTGAACAGCATGAGCTCAGGCACAAAAAAATCACCTCCAGGAAAAAGGGCCACAAACCCTCTGAGGAGACTCCTGGGTGAGATGTGTGTGCACCCAAGAGATGTACAGAGACACATGAAGGAACACATGCCAGGGGGCACCACTTGGTCTAGTTTTAGAGGACACATGGGGTGGAGAGATTATTACTATTTTTCTTTGTACCTCAACGCTTTTCACTATTAATAGCAAAGCACGTACACCTTCTGTGATCTTTGAAAACAAATTTAATTATAAATACTTATCACGTTCACCAGAGCCTATAGAAAGAAGTCAGCACAGACTTCTAGGCCTCGGTTACCTGGCCCCCCTCTGACTTCCTCCCACCCTCTCCCAACCTCCCCCAATCAAACCCTGGCCCATACCCGCCCAAGGGCTAGCTGGTCACTCACAGTTGTCAGGGGATGCCTGGGTCTCGCTGGGCTCCAGGTCTTCACTGGCCCTCGCAGGCCCACCTGGTAGTAACGGACAACAGAGGCTCAGCATGCTTCCCACACTCCCCCTTCCTCAAAGCTGCGGATAGCTCCATGGGAAACTCAACAGCATCCCTGCTTATACTCGAAGGGCGAGTGAGCCCAAAAGGGAGAGATGTGCTAACAATCACATAGTAAACCTGCAGGAGGTGGGCATGGACAAAGGCTTCTGACCAAGAGCCTAAGGCTCCAGACCACCCCCCGACACCAGTCCTTCAGGTCCTGCCCTCAGATGTGGTAACTGCCCACCCAGCCCCAGTGCTTCTCTTCTTACCTTACTGAGGGGATAGAAACAAATGCCCAGAACATTTACTCAGCTTTTAAGGGGCTGGTTCCCTTCTGCTTCCTCGCATTGGGAAGGCAGATGTGAGGGCAGGAGCCCGAGCAGTCTTCCTGGTCCATGTGACAACTCTGAGGATGCCGCCACTGGGCAGAGTGGTGAGGCTGCAGCCCCCACCAGCTCTGGGCTGCTCACCTCTGTGCCTCTTATACACCAGGGAGCTCAACTCTCAGGGAAGCCACTGACTGGCTTGGGCTCTATGCTGTCAATTTTACGCCTTCCAAGGCTGACCACCCCACTTCCTATTTCTTCTGTGGTCTACTCTCCTCTGGGGTAGAGGCCTCACCTGGCTCTTCCAGGGCCTTGGTAAGGTCCTTCACCAGGGAGGCTGCCTTCTTGCAGCTCTCAGGACACTGTGCCACCACCAGGGGCCGGACATTGTCAGGCAGGACGCTCAGGAACTGCTCCAGCACCAGCAGCTCCAGCATCTGCTCCTTGGAGTGCACCTCGGGCTGCAGCCACTGGCGGCACAGCTCAAACAGCTCGGTCACGGCCTGGTGGGGCCCAGCCCCTTCCTGGTAGATGAAGTTCCGGAAATGCTGGCGGGAGAACTCAAGGTCCCGTCCAAGGACAGTCTTGGGGTCCTCCTCCTGGTCCTCAGCTGCTGATCCTAGCAGAGGCAGTTCTGGGGGAATTAGGGAGCTCCTAGGGGTGGCAAATGCCTTCTCCAAAGGCAACATCTTTTCAAACCCGCACTGGGAAATGTGACGAGCCAGGGACAGGGCAGGTGTTGTGGAGGGCGAATTCACGTAACTGCAACCGCAAAGGACAGAGAGAACAGCAGGACGCTCTGGGATCTCAGCCAGAATCCAGACCTGCACAGGACAGACAAGAGATGCCTACATAACGAGAAGCCAGCCACGAGGCATCCACCCCAGAGAAGAACAAGCAGGGTCCCCTGAGCTCATCAGTCCCACTCACCACACCAGGAGTCCATGCAGAATTATTTCCAAGCAATCTGCTTGTTAAGTATCAGCAGAGTTTTACACTTGCATAGATAAAAATTAACATAAAAAGTGGGAGGTGGAAAGACTCATTTTGTAAGACTGGTATTATCAGGATTAAAAAAAATCAGTCACAGCTAAGAGTAAAGTTAAAGGATCTCACTTTTAAAAATGTAAAAATTTGGGGCCCCTGGGTGGCTCAGTGGGTTAAAGCCTCTGCCTTCGGCTCAGGTCATGATCCCAGGGTCCTGGGATCAAGCCCTGCATCCGGCTCTCTGCTCAGCAGGGAGCCTGCTTCCCTTCCTCTCTCTCTGCCTGCCTCTCTGCCTACTGTGATCTTTGTCTGTCAAATAAATAAATAAAATCTTAAAAAAAAAAAAGTAAAAATCTCAAAACGTTACAAAACTCACTCCAACGATGTATACTCAAAGCATGTGGTACCATGCCAGATTTGGGTGTATCCCAGACTTCTTTCACCTTTGGAAGGGCTAGGTATCACCATTGTCCCTCCTATTTAGATAACTGTAAAATCTGAAAACACAGCTGACCCTTGAACACCTTGAACTGCATGGTCCACTTAAGGTAGATTTCTTTTTTTATAAATACAGTACCATGCTGTAAACACATTCTCTTTTTTACAATTAGAACATTTTTTTTCTCTAACCTTATTGTAAGAATACAGTATTTAAAAGATGTTACATACAAAACGTAAGTTAACCAACTGATTATCTGTAAGGCTTCCAGTCAACAGAAGCTATTGGTAGATAAGTGTTTGAGAAGCCAAAAGTTATACACAGATTTTTGACAATGCCCTAACCTTCAACTTCTTCAGAGTCGACTATAGATCAGTAAACAACCAGCATCTACTTCTGGAAATGGCACAGGACTGCAGACCCAGCCTGACCCGCCCACAGAACCAGATGGGAAGCAGAAGTTGTTGACCAGGAGAAGAGTACAATGGTGGGGGGAGAGGAGAGACTATGGTGTTTAGGTCCTGGGAGTTCAGGTCCTGCTCTGTCCTCTCCCCACCCCCAGCTAATCCTGACGGGAAGCGGCATCATCTGAGAGAAGCTAGATTCGGGATGTTTAGGTGAACTCTCTTGACTGTAACTGCTGGCAAACAGTGAGCAAGCTGAACGAGGAACCCGGCAGGCCACCGCTGGCCAGTCCACCTGCTGTTGGCTTCAGGCTCCCAGTGCCTTCACCAGCTGTGAGTACATAGGGACATGCACTCCAGTTCCTCCCAGAACCTGCTGTGTCTGCACTTCTCCCCGTATAACCGGGAGATCCATGGACCCCACCAGGAGGGACACATCCCAGACAAAAGCTGCACCCAAACCCAGTGGGAATGCTCTCCCTAGCCAAATCACAGAAACCAACGTTTTTCTTCCAAACACGTCTGGGGAAGTCAAGAGAATGTGGTGAGGATTTTGTCTTTACAGAGAAAACTGCAATGAGGACCCAGGCACCAATGACCTCCTCCAGGGAAAGGGAAGATGTGCTCTGACATTCCACCAGGGCACGGGGCCCAAGGACGTTGTAGCTGGGGGTGTCGGATTCCATTCACATCAAGCGTCCAGAAGAGGCAAGTCCACAGAGACGGAAAGTAGCTCAGTGGCTGCCAGGGGCGGGGGTCAGAGTCAGAGGGACTGTCCTGCTTTATCACTATTTTATATCGCTTTATCACTATTTTATTACTTCTTCCTGGAGTGATAAAATGCTCTAAAATTCACCGTGGTATTGGTTGTACAACTCTGTGAATGGGTAAAAACCAACGAATTGCACATTTTAAATAGGTGAACTCTTTTGGTATGTCAACTGTATCTCAATAAAGCTGTTAAATATAGACGGAAAAAAAACGTTGGTAGAGGCCCCAAGGCCCACTGCTCCCCCTCTCTGAGGTTACACCAGGGGTCCGAAGCCATTCCACACAGAGTTCCATTTCCCTCAAGGCAGAGACAGCTGGGCCGCGCCATCATTACCACCGTTTCCCTCGCACACCCCGCCTCAGCCCGCCCTGCTCCCTACAGCATTCCTGTCCCGCACAGGTCTGGGCTCTGAAGGGGCCCCCCATGGAGACCTTCCCTCCATCCACACCTCCTCAGTCCCTCTTACCTGCCTATCACCTGCCTCCCCTGCTGGAACATAAACCCCAGGAGAGTTGAGGTTACTCACAGGGAACGCTCTGGGCAGTTCCTGGCTCAGTATTTGTTGAGTGCATAAATTATCTTTTTCAACTCATTTTAGAGAGAGAAAAAGCACAACAGGTGGGGGGTGGAGGGAGAGAGAATCTCAAGCAGACTCGCCACTGACTGTGGAGCTCCACCATCCTAGGACCCCGAGATCATAACCTGAGCCAAAATTGAGAGCCAGATGCTCAACCCACTGAGCCACGCAGGTGCCCATTATTTAAATTACTTTTAAATGGTTCCAGTCCTCTACTAACAGGCATGCTGGCTATTCCTAATTTTTGCTGGCCATTACCCTCATATCCGTCTATCTGGGATCAGGTTGGGGATATACCTGGAAGGTCAAAGTAGAAGTAGGATACCTGGACCACTGGGCATGTGCTGTGACCCACAGCAGCCCACTGGAGGCAACCCAGCCCCTGCCACCCACTACAGTAGTGCTCACCAGGGTTCTCCTTCCCCCCACCTCTGCATCGGGGACCTCAGACCACAAAACCTGCTCCTTCCACTCTGTCAGTCAGCAGCCTGCTTTTCGATGGCACTTACAGCTCCCTTTCTATTAAGTAATTAAAGTGGTTTCTCTCTGGCTTGGTCTTGCCAGTGTCCCCATCTGTGGCTTGTCTTTTCAGTTTATGCTCTTTCAGCTATAAGGGTCTAATGTTTACTTTTCTTTTTTCCCCTAAATAAATTTCTGAGTTCCAAAACTTGTTTGTAAAGAGCTTCCCTGGGGCACCTGGGTGGCTCAGTCGTTAAAACATCTGCCTTCAGCTCAGGTGCTTCTCCCTCTCCCACTCCCCCTGCTTGTGTTCCCTCTCTCACTGCCTCTTTCTGTGTCAAATAAATTTTTAAAATCTTTAAAAATAGATGAGTAAGTAAAGAGCTTCTTTCCCTACCTCAGGATGAGAAATGCACTCTTGCATTTCCTCTGCTAGGGCCACAAGGGGCAAATGCAGGACAGTCTCAGTTGTGAGAACACAAATTTGCCTGGCGGCTAAAGCAACCAGAGAACCTGTCTGTCCCAGGCCTGGCTGTGTCCCTATTACAAAAGAGGCTGCTGGCTGGGCTTCTGGACTCAAAAGTGACGTTGTTGCCGTTGACTAATCTAGAGCCTCCTCTGGCAACAGAAGTGTTGCCAGCTCCAGCCAGCAGCACAGCCATATTTATCCCAACAGGCACAGGGTACACGGAGCTCTATGTGGAGCACGGGCAGGTGTGTGGTCACACAAGCAAGTAATTTGCATTTTCTTAGGATACCACAGGCACTACTGTTCTGTGTGGGTCCTGTCTCAGAAGGTTACCTTGAACTCACTAGTAAGTGCATGCACAGGTCTCATCGTCCTGCACTGGAGCCTCACGAACTGGTCACGCCGCTGCAAGGATGTTGTTAGGCAGAGGGACCACCGGAACTCTTCCCTGTCCCCAGCTTCCTTGAGTAAAGCCATTCCCCACTGCCCAAATTCCTCCTGACTCAGTCACCAGGCAGCTATCCACCCCATCACATACACATCTTGGGGCCTCGGGGAATTTACCTCAAATGGGGATGGAAATTTCCTAGAGCCCAGGCTCCCCTTGCATCCCTGCCCACAAGTCCAAGGATGCAGAGGAAGCAGTGGGGGGGGGGGGCGAGGGGGGGGCAGGTGAGCTGAGAGGTCCCCAAGCCCTGTGGGGCTCCTGCAAGCAAATCCCTCTCACACTGGGCTAAGCAGAGATCAAGGTTGGCTTCTAACTCCTCAACTCTACCTCCAGGCCTGCCCTGCCCCACTTCCCCCTCTCCACATATGCCCATCTGAGGTGACTCAAGATACTCACAGAGTCTCTTGGCCTCAACCAATAATTATTTACTCATTACAAAGGGCGCCTTTAAAATGAGAAAACGTAGATCAAGGGATCATCCTTAACATCTTAGCTGTCTTCTATGGTCCCTGCCAAGAGTGCAAACTCTGGATCCACTTGGGAGGACAGATCGACCCAAATCAAGAAAAGTCCTGCACAACTGGCCTGAGCTTCCCAAAAGCCTAAAGGACAGAACTCAAAAGTCAGAAACTCACAGAGGCAAAGAACAATACACACATGGCCCTGGACCAGAAAAGGTACAGGACGTTGTTGGGGTTTGGGGGGAAAGGGGGGACCAAACCCTGGTACAGAGAAGAGGATGGTGGAACTGTCCAGCTTAGCCTCTAGGGTGTCAGCGAAGACATACAAAAGGTATGTGAGAGAGGAATGGAGAAGGGAGAAAAGGGAGGAGAGGAGAGAGAGGGAATGAAGTGGGGAATGAGGAGGAAAAGTGACATAAGTACAAAACAAAATATTAAGAGATGAATCTAACCAAAAGACGTGCAATTCTAAGATCTTTCCTTAAAACGCTTCTGAACATTTTTTCCCCCCACAAACAATATTCTCAGTCATCCCCACTTCCCCTTGCCGGCTCCTCCAGCAGCAAAAAAGGGAGACCCATGCTCGCCCTTCTCTTGGGTTTCTTCGCCCACCAAAGGGATCTAACACAGGGACAGACAATCCACCCCGGGCGACTGGGAAGAGGCAGGGCGTCAGGGAGCCTGGCAGCAGAGACGACCTCGGGTCCCACCCCGGGTGGCTCAGCACCACCCACTCGCTCAGCTGAACGCACACTCGGGGTACCGCAGCCCCCTCCCTGCTCCCACCCAGGACGCCACAGTCTGCCGCTCCTCCCGCCTAGGGACACCCTCAGCCCTCGAGTCCCCTCTCGTAATCCCCTCCCTCTCCCAGGCCGCAGGAGGGTGACCTCAACCCTTCCCTGTTTCCACACTGCAGAGGGGCAGCCAGGCCCCCCTCTGCGGTCTCTCAGCCAAGTCCTCCCCGCCCCATACCCTGGGGAACCGCACCCCCCACCTCACCCCGACCCCAGGGGCTCCCGGCCTCCACCCCTCCCCCGCCCAGCCCCACACCGCAGAATCTCCTTTCCCCCTCCCCCACCCGGGGTCGCTCCCTGCCCCCACAGGTCACCTCCGAACGCAGCTGCGCGAGGCACACTGGCGGGACCGCTACGATCCGCTCGACAAAAGCACGCTGTAGAGCAGCCCCCTGCCGCCAGCCAGACCTACCTCCTGCGTAGTGGTCCTCGGCCGGTTCCAGCCGCCAGGAGCTCGGCGCGATGGCGTCAGGTCAGACTGCGCGTGCGCACTGGGCCTGCGCCGCGGACTACGACTCCCAGAAGGCAGCGGGCCGTTCCCCAGAGCGAGGGCAGAGCGAAGACGCAACGACTGAACGGGCAGCCAATCAGGGGCAGAGTTAGCCTCCCTCAGCTTCTAGGCCTCTCGTGCGCCTGTGTCATTTTCGATCCATGGCAACGCGCTAAAACAGGTCGAGTGGGGGGAACTACATCGCCCTGAGAACCAGAGACGAGGAGACACTGAGGAACTGAGAGACACAGAGAGAAGACGACGCAGGGACAGGGAGTGACAGAAACGCGAGAACCCAGAGATGGAGAGACAGGGACAAGGAGACCAAGATTCCCAGAGTATCAAATAAGGCGGGATATAGAGGAGGGGAAAGAAAAGGGGAGGCCGACAGACAGAAGCCCCGCGAACGAAGAAAGATCGAGAAGGGGAGGTCCAGGCACGAGGAGACTCAGACATGGATAGAGCCAGCGACAGCGACAAAGTCCGGGACAGACAGAAATGGGTAGACCTACAACTGGGAACACAAAGACACCCAAAGACGGTAGACTTTGACGTAAAACCAGAGACGGAGACAGAGAAGGTGAGAAGCGGGATGTGGAGAGACCCAGAGACTGAGCAACAGCAGGGCAGACACCCAGAGACAGACGGAGGCACTGAGACCCAGGGACGCTGATTCGCTGCAAAGGGAGATGGGGTCTGCATATCCAGGAAGTGACAGAACTGGAAGACTAACCAAGCTGGGGGATTCGGGAGTCGCGAAAACGGAGGAAAATGTAACAGGCCGGCTGGGGTGAGTGATGTGCCCAGAGGCGCAAGACAGGTGTCGCCACTTCACTAGACGGGACAAACAGGGCAAGGGTTAGGACGCTCCTTCCCATTCCAGAATTTTCTAGATAACAAGAGTTTATAGGACTGACATTTTGTGCAAACGTGATTTTCGTTTTTAATTGGGGGCGAGGGGCAGGCAGAAGAGGGAAAGAGAATCTGAAGCAGGCCCAGGGTGAAGCCCCTTGTGGGCCTCCATCTCGGGATTTTGAGATCAGGACCTGAGCTGAAATCAAGAATTCAAGCTTACGTGGCTGAGACACCCAAGGCGCCCCTGTAAAATCTGATTATTTGAGAGAGAGAGATCACGACCAGGATTGGGGGTGTGGGGTAGAGAGAAAAGCGGACTCCCCACTAAGCAGGGAGCCGGATACCAGACTCGATTCCAGGACCCTGAGATGAGCCCAGCAGAAAGCAGATGCTTAGCCAACTAAACCACCCAGGGGCCCGAAAACTGATTTTTAAAAACGTTTATCTTAACAGGTCATTATACATATTTTATTTATTTACAACAACTCTGACATTTTTGGGTATTCAGTTCTATGAATCTTAACTTGTATAACCACCAACACAAAACAAAGAACAGATCCACTGTACAACAAACTCCTTCCTGATACTCCTCTCTCCCACCCACAACCCTGGCAGCCACTGATCCATTTTCCATGGACTTAGAATCAGAGTAGGTGGCCGTTTGAGATTTGCTTTTTTCACTGAACATAATTCCTTTGAGTTGTAGTGATAGTTTGTTCCTTTTTATTGCCAGGTACTTTTCGATGGTTTCAATATACAACAGTTTGTTCAAACATTCAACTACTAAAAGACATTTTTGTTGTTTCCAGTATTTTGCTATTACAAATAAAGCCACAATGAACATTAGTATAAATGTTTGTATGTAAACCTTCCTAAGTCTTCATTTTTCTGGGATAAATGACCAAGAGTGCAACTGCTCAGTTACATGGCAAATGTTTAGTAAATACCATTTTACATTCCCAGGAGCAACATATCTGAACACATTCTTAGAGCAATTGATGTTCCCCTTTTTTAAATTTTTATTTTTTTAAGTAATCTCTACATCCAACATGGGACTCCAATTTACAGCCATTAAGTTCAAGAGTTGCTCCACCTACCAAGTCAGCCAGGTGCCCCAGTGTTTATTTTAGCCATCCCGATTTGTAGTGACATCTCATTGCTTTTAATTTGGATTTCCCTAATGATTAATAATGTTGAACATACTTCCATATTCTCCATCTGTGTATCTGCAGTGAAATGTCTGTTCCTGTCTTATGCTCATATTTTACTTCTTAAAAAAACTGTTTCTGAGTTTTGATATTTATATATTCTAGGTATGCTCCTTGTCAGATATATGGTTTGCAAATGTTTTTTCCCAGTCTGTAGTTTGTCTTTTTATTCCCTTAACAAAGCCATTAGCAGAGCAAACCATTTTAATTGAGACGATGTACAATTTGTCACTTTTTCCTTTAATGGATCACGCTTTTTGTATCAAGTCTAAGAACACTGCTTAGCCCCCAAGGATTTCCTCTTACATTTTTTCTAAAAGTTTTATAGTTTTGGGGTGCTTGGGTGGTTCAGTTGATTAAGCTTCTGCCTTTGGCTCAGGTCATGATCCCAGGGTCCTGGGATCAAGACCTGCATCAGGATCCCTGCTAAGCGGGGAGTCTGCTTCTCCCTCTCCCTCTGCCCCTTCTCCCTTCTCATTCTCACACACCCTCTGTCTCAAATCATTTTTTAAAAAAATAGAAGTTTTATAGTTTTACTTTGTACATTTAAGTCAATCATCAATTTTGACTTTTTATAAAAGAGGTGAAGTTTATATTTAAGTTCATTTTTTTCTCCTATGGATGTTGGGCTTTTTTCCAACACTAATTCTAACACCAAATATGTAGGATTTTTTCCAAGACCACCCAATTCTCCAACCCAACTGCATGTCCAACAATTCAGTTCTAAGCTACTCAGAGTTAGGACAAACTCCACAGGTTAAGGGCTTACTTGCACAAGACTGTTCCCTCTCCAGATCACAGCCACAGGCTACACACACTTCTGTTCAGCTGACTACAAATTCACCGGATCTCTAGATCCCACCTCAGGTTTGAGAATTCACTAGAATGACTCACAGAACTTAAGAAAACACTTTATTATGTTTACCAATTTAGTAATAAAGGCTATAACTCAGGAACAGCCAAATGGAAGAGCTACATAGGGCAAGGTTTGGGAGGGGGGTGGTACACACATATCTTTGCATTCTCTAGGAATGCCTCCTCCCTCTCAGCATGTCAGTGTGTTCACCAGCCCAGAAGCTCTCTGAATTTCCTTGTCCACGAGTACTTATAAACAAATCTCCAGCCTCCCTTCCCTCCCTGAGATCATGGTGGGGGGCTGAAAGTTCCCAACCTCCTTCTAGTGACCATTACCCATCCTGAAGCTACCTATGGGACCCAAACCAAGTTCCCTTATTAGCATAAACTCAGGTGTGGTCCAAAGGGACTCTTTATGAATAACAAGACATTCCTGTCACTCAAGAAATTCTAGGATTTCTTCCAGGAATGAGGGACAATGACCAAATATGTTTTGTTATACGACAGATATCCAACTGCTCCAACACCGTTCATTAAAAAGGCTATCCTTCCCCAACTGAATAGCTTTCCACACTTGTTAAAAATAAGTTGAGCATGTTTTTGTGGGTCTATTTTTGGGTTTTCTATTCTGTTCTATAGACTTATGTGTCAGCCAAAACCACAAACTCTCGGTTACTGTAGTGAAATAGTAAGGTTTAATATCAGTTATTCCTGGGACGCCTGGGTGGCTTGGTTGAGCGGCTGCCTTCGGCCCGGGTCATGATCCCGGCATCCTGGTATCGAGTCCCGCATCGGGCTCCTTGCTCAGCAGGGAGCCTGCTTCTCTCTCTGCCTCTGCCTGGGCTCACTCTCTCTGACAAATAAATAAATAAAATCTTTAAAAAATATATCAGTTATTCCTCTCACTTTTCTTTTTCAAAAATTATTTTTAGAACAATTTTTTTTCTATTCTATGTCTAGTATTTTCCCATATAAATTGTAGAGTAAGCTTGTCTGTTTAAAAGCTTATTGTATGTCTTATGGCTCTTACCTATGTCTTCCTGGGAGTTTGATGAAAATTGCATTTTGTACACTTCTTGTATTTTTTCTTGCCTAACTGCATTGGCTAGGACTTCCAGTATGATTCCAGTAGCAGTAGGGAGTGCTGCCATCCTTATCTGTGGTTCACCATTATGATGTTGGCTATACATTACTTACATAAGCCCTTTCAGATTAAAGAAGTTCCTCTTTATTCCTAGTTTGCTACTGTTATTATGAAAAGAGAATGAATTTTGTCAGATGCTCTGTATGCATCTGTTTGTAAGACCATGTAGTTTTTGTTCTTTAGTCTGTTAATATCATGAGTTACACTGACTGGTTTTCTTTTATTTTGTTAAGATTTATTTAAGAGAGAGCACATAAGCGGTGTTGGGGGGGGAGCAGAGGCAAAAAGCAGGCTCCCCGCAGAGCAGGGAGCCTGACATGGGACTGCAACCAGGTCTGAGATCATAACCTGACCAAAGGCAGACACCTAACTGTCGGAGCCACACGGGCGCACCATGACTGGTTTTCAAATATTGGAACAGCCTTGCATTTCCAGGATAAACCCCCTGGTCATGTTGCATTGTTGCTCTTATATCTTACAGAATTCAATTTGCTGACATTTTATTGATAATATTTGTGTTAAATTCATGAAGTCTATCACTCTGTATTTCTCCTGTCATTGTCTGGTTTTAGTATCCAGGTAATGGTGACCTTATAAAATCAAGGAGGAAACACCTTGATTTTATAATCGCATTTTATAATCACATTTATAAATGTGAAAATACACATTTTCTCAAAGTGTGGAACTAGCATCATTTCTTAAGTGTTGGATAAAATTCATCAACAAAACTATCACAGCTTAGAGTTTGTTTTGAGAAAAAAAAAATCAACTACTTCAGGGTGCTTGGGTGGTTCAATCAGTTAAGTGTCTGCCTTTGGCTCAGGACATGATCCTGGGGGCCAGGGATCAAGCCCTGCGTTTGGCTTCCTGCTCAGCAGGAAGTCTGCTTAGCCCTCTCTCTGCCCCTCCTCCTTGCTCCTGCTCACTCGCTCACTCTCAAAATAAATAAACAAAATCTTTTTATTAAAAAACCCAACTATGGGGGCACCTGGGGGCTCAGAGGG